TGTGAGTACAGGCAAGTGGAGCCAATTGGCAACTGGGCCTAGTGTGAATGCACCCTTAGAAGATCACCGAAATGTGAGATTATTTGGTGGCCAGGTTAACATATAAAGTATATGCCTCAACTGTTGAGCAGATATCTTCCCTACTGCCTACAATATGACCCTGATGAAGGCCACAAGCCGAAACACGTTGGTCTATTTTGTTAATAAAGTTTATCTTCATACTACAAGTGCTGCTGGAGCTTTTTGACCTCTACTGCCTACAACACAAAGAGAAAAGGGTTCATTTCAGACATGTATTGTACTTGTGTCCTAGTTCGTGTCTCATTGAAGATTACAGGTGAAGAGTTTAAATGGATGTAATCAATGCATCTGTTTGGAACAGTTTGTAATGTGTGCAAAAGTGTGAAAAACATTCAACACCAGGTTTAGAAGATGGCACCGGTGAACAAATAAGCATGTTGCCAACAAGTTTTCATTGCATTTAAAGAGACACACACACCAAAACGGAGCGTTCTCAGAGAGCTGGTTTATACAGGCATAATGTATATCGTTGCTGAATGAACTTAAGATGTTTAAGTTATTTGAGTCTTATAGTTATCCTAAAAACCTTTATAAGCTTCCTTTTCAACCTCTTTCATGACTCATCAATCTGTCACACAAAAGGTATTCAAGAGGAGAGGATGCTTCAAGTCCCACATTATGAGAAAACATGTAACTACAATCAGTAATGAAAGCACCGAGGTGATTCATAAATAGTGTAGGATGAGATATGCAACGTGTTTTGTGATTGATATGAGGAGAGTACAGTATAATATTCCCAGAAGCCTCTAACATTACCCCTTTAGAAAAAAATCTGATCACATTTCCTGTCTTGGTCTCTTTTCTTAAAATGCTGTGATTGCAAAACTGGAATAGCCATTGCAGCCTCAACACTATTTATTCACTGAAGTGGATTGAATGATTCAACCACTGTGCTTGTACTTCACCAGTGTAGTAAATCAAATCCACTTGTTTGTGGGATTAAATAAAATAAACTGTGTGAAGGCGTTGTCCTAGCACTTGACATTTATATTGCACAAACACTGCATCTCTGTTTTTTCCATTTTAAAAAGACTCACTTTGGAAATCCAGGATTTTCAGAGACTGGGGGTTCTTATATTTGTACTGTGCTGGTGAGCTAGTTAAACCATTTCTAACCCTAACAAAGCTAGGTACACTGCTGCTGTGTGTCCCTGTAACCTGAGAAGGGTGATTCTGAAAGCGAAGCAAACAGGAAGAGCGAGCTATAGAAAGATCAAGTGAGGAGGGGCAGACAGGATGAAATGCAAGAGAGTGAAGTAGGAGAGGGGGATTCATAGACAGATGGATGGATAATGTGCTCATGAGTCAAGATCCCCCAGGAGACATTGCTGTGTGCATGTGTGACCAAGTTCATTGCTAAGCCATCATCCTCTCTTACCTTTATCACCCGTGTCTGTTTTCTATCGTACTTTCATTCAGTGCTCTTGTTTCATCGTGCTGTAACTGATAATTCAATGGAACCACTATGTATTTTTTTTTTTTATATACCTTACTTCTCCTCTCCTCCCTTCTCTGCTCTTCTTCCCTCACCACCCTCTTGTTTTCACTAATGGATGGTGCTAATGCTCATCATCAGCGACGTCCGTCTGGGGGTGATTCCTTCCTGCATGTGCTCACCGACAGACATAACGGGCCTGCTGAGATCATTCACTCATTCACTCCACCCATCTATGAATTCATTCGATTATCTGCCACCCATCTGTCCATTCAGTCATTCAGTTCTTTTGGACTCAGATATCCACTATTTCAAACAGCCATCAATTGATCATCCTCATTTCTATAAATGATTCATTCATTTCACTGCTAATGTGTTTTTTCAATCTGATATCCAGAGTAACCAAACGAAACGTAACAAGTAAGTGAGCATCTGTTACCCTGTCACAGTCTAGTTAGATTCAACCCTTGTAATGTAAAGGTAGTATTCAGTCACAGCTAATGATAAAGACTTTGTCTGACTTCCTCAGCCATCAGAGAGAGAGAGTGTGTGTGATCATTATGAGCGATGATCTTTGTATTTCCCAGTTGTGTAGACTAGCTACCCTTTGTTGGGTCTTTTATTTTATTTTTTATTTGTTTCCAAGAAGTTTTATTTTATATGTAGCCGACAGGATGGACAATGGACAGAGTATGAAACGGGGAAGAAAGGGTGGGGGAACCTGAAATGTACGACTCTAGGCATAGACTGAATGTACTTACATTTCAAAACATACCCATAAACGGCAAGTGTTATATAAATACACTGCAAAAAATAATAATAAAAAAAAAAAATTCTAATCTGGTAAACTATTGAAAACTGTTGTATCCTTTCTTAGAAACAAAAGTCTGTTTTCAGTTCTTCAAATGAGAGTAATCCTTTACATATGAAGTTTAATTGAATTTCTTTGGGTTTTTAGCTGTTGTCTCTCAACACAAGTCATCTGGATCACTCAGTTTAGGCTCTGAAATGTTAAAGTTAGATTTTTTTACATCCATCACCAGCATTTTCAAAAAAGTATCTATTACGTAAAAAAATATATTGTACAATTATTTGCTAATACCTCATGAATTAGTTGGTTGTTTTTGGTTGCACCAGCTTCCATTTTCAAGAATCTCGGCTAGACGAGGGCATTAGGGTCTATAGACTTTTTTTAACATCTGTAACCTGATATGGCATATTGTAAGGTTTCACAAAGGCCCATTAACTCACAGCTACTTGCCCATGAACTAGCCTGACTATACCTCACTGACACCAGAGGCTCAGGCTACCCATGTCCATTACACCCCCCCCTCCCCCCATCCCACAACGGCAAGTCGATAAACATTTAAAACATCTATCTACCTCAAGTAAACACAACAGGGACCCATTTAGAGGAGGGACCTTTTTTTATTGATGATTAGGAATTAATGATAGTGATGTTTACTGAGGCTTGAACCCAACATACAATAAATTGGATCATAACTTGGGCTAAGAGCCTATTAGGCAGCATGATTCCACAAGTGACATCATTATTGGCCTCAGCCCACAGTTAATACCCAAAGGTCCCACTGTAAAGCCTGGTGTGCACATGTTTGTGTCCTGCGTCTGTGAAGCATTGCATTTGCAAGTTGTATTGACTACTGCTATAAAATTGATTCATGGCGCCTTAAGGGAGCAGGCAACCCCTGAAACCTGATTGGCCACTGCAGTTCCCACTCAGGAAGTCCTGTTACTGATACCTGAGATTTAGGCATTTTCTGACAATAAGTATGGTTCAGTGGTCTTGGTGTCAGAGTCAGAGAAATAACCTGTATACCTCACTGTGCATTGGATACAGATTATTTGGCATGATTCTTCTGGATGTACCATGTTACATTTGCAATGCTGCCACCACACTTGAAAAAAATTGTCTTTGCAGATATTGCAGGCCGTCATTTTGTTGGTCTAGCATGTATGAAAAGCAGCTGCTTTCAGCTCTTTCCAAGATGGCAGAATAGCTTCCTTTTTCATAAAAAAAATCCAGCAGATGCACTGCTGACACATGAAAAGGAATGAGAAAATAAAAATATTGGTAGCAGTGGAAACAAGTTTTCCTAAGTAGAAATAATGAAGGTTCCCTTCCCAATCTTGAAGATAGTGGAATATAGGAGGATATAGGAGCATGATAAGTAAAGGCTATGCCTGTCGTTAATGTTCAACACTGTAGCATACGTTTGTGAGCCTGATGTCCTGGTGGGATTATAGGGAACTAAAGGACAAAGGCAGTCCTTGAAATTTGTTTTCATATGATGGTAAAAAGACATTAACGCTGGTCAACATGGAAAGATTATGATCAAGACAATATTTTTTATTATGAATCAATATCAAAATGTATCATGATGTATCATTTGATGAAGCTGCGTGTTTGCATCAATTATTTAAGTGGGATAAATTGTGGGATTAAATAAAGGATCATTTTATGTACAATCCTGATCAAAAATACCTGCAATCATTCATACACACCTGGTAAGATGCCAGAATTTGAAATGTGTTCCTAAGCTTTTAACAGCCAAACACAATACCTCGGTCTGAGTAAAGTAGCACAAAACTGCTCATCATTAAGGTCTTTATGTAAAGGTGTCAAAGTTCTGAATATTTAAAACAAAGGAAAAGGACCCAACTGCAGAACTCAAAAAAGGTTTAATGAAACAAAATGTATTTTTGGTTATATTATGTTTATATTTAATGTAGACTTTTTGTACATTGAGAGCTCAGTTCACCAAAGAGAAATGCCTTGTGTGTGTAAGCATACATGGCCAATAAAGCTGATTCTGATTCTGATGTTATTCATTTTTATTCATAAAAATCAAACAAAACTCCAACGTAAAAACCAGCAAAACACACAAAGAGAAGCCACAGGAAAAAAACAAAGAAAAAGCTTCAGTCCATAAGTACAAGGGACGAATGACATATAATGAAGTCACAAAGAAGAGGAAGCACACAGACATTAAATAGACTTTTGTTGATTGGACACAGGTGAAGGCAATCAAAAAAGGAGGGAAACACTCAAAGGGAGGAAGTAACACAAGACATGCTATACAGGGGAAAAACTACAAAATAAAACAGGAAACACTGAAAACTTGAGCAAGGAATACTAACAGAAAAATACACGCAGGGATAGCGCAACACAAGGGAGGAAGAAGACAAACTAAATTAGGAAAAAATAAAGAACTCAACTTGTACAAAACGAACTAAACAAGGGTTGACCATGACATAAGGTGTTTATGTCATCGATAAACATGTTTTTTCATCTGGAATGGAGTGTTTCCTGAACGTAATACCCAGAGAAAGAATCTTGAAGGTTAATACAGTAGAAGTGGTCCAAGCACTTAACTTTTGTATGCATGAATCATGCATGCTTTATAAATACAATTATTATTCAACTCTATGTATGACTTCCTTAACCTTTGACTCCTGCAGGTAAATGGAGGTGCAGGACAGGAGCCGCTCCCCATCCCGTAAGACCAGCCGGGTGGAGCAGGTGGTGGGACGATGGCTTAGACGTTCCAGAGACTTAGGCAGCAGGTCTCACTCTCTGACCAGGTAAACAATTGTGTTTGTCTGTTTTTATCTGTAAACCATTCATTTGAGGAGTCAATTTGAAAGCATGGATGGATGTAATCCCCCGTCTGTGTTAGCCGTTTCCAAGGGATGCCAAGAATAAAAGTGATCTAATATTTTTTACTTTTTGTTTTCTCAATTATTTATCCTCTCATTTGATGATTTAAAGTGAACTGGCCTTCTGTTCTGCCAGAGTAGAACAGAAGGTTGTATTCAGAATTTATTGTTTTCTTTTTTTTTCATTCATGTCAACCTTACCTTTTTCAGAGATCGGGCTGGTGTAGAAGGGAGGTCAGCAGAGTCAAGTGGCTCTGATCAGAGGAATTACCCCTTCCGCTTCAATGTTCAGATCCAGCGGGACCCGAAGCTCAACTCTCATGGCCTCACTCTGTCCTCCCAGACCCCCATCCTGGTGCAGGAGATCACCCCAGGTACAATATATTCATGCAATGAACACATAGAAGAGAAAACAAGACAAAAAGAATTATAGAGGAGGTCTATTATCCTGAACTAGTGGAGACAGAAGAAGCGTTCATTATTAAAAATGAGGCCCTACTTCCCCCACATGACTATTCTGAGTGAACACGTATAAAGCAGGTCACTGGTAATAATCAATCACAAATCAGTTTTGATACTATGTACAAGCCTTGAAGTGTACGTAACGTACCTGTCTCTTATACCCTGAAAATAGGAGAAGAAGATAGTACTCAGCAACAGCACTGGGTTGCACAAGCTATGTGTAAGTTCAAATATAGCCTAGTTTAAATGTCTTTTTTTAGGACAGAGTTTACACCTGTATCACTTTTAAGGTGTTGCACCAGCTGTTATAGTTCCAACAAGGCATAAGTTACAACTTAAATTATACACCTCGCTGCTAGTAGGTTGAAAGTTCTCCATAAAACACGGTTGTCACTATGATCCGTTTTGAAAGGTGGGATAACTTGGAGGGTGAGGAGGAGCAAAGGTTCTTACCGGCTGTTTGGTGTCAGCGGTGCATTCTCTGTGATAGATGACTTCCTTGTTGTATCTCCCACCAGGAGATAATTCCACCAGTCCAACAATAGAGTGCCATTAAATCCCCTTTTGTAACCCCTTGATGTCTCCCTTGTTTTATACTTGCTGTAGATAAAGGTTTTAGTCTATATTTGTCATCTAATTATAATGCTTTGTCATGTTTTACATTCTTAATTGTTCCCGTTCATGGATCAACAGAAGTCCATTTAAAGGAAGTTATTTGCAGCCTTTTGTCTGTTTGAAGAAAATTAAGCATGAGAGGCATCTCTTCAAAAAACACTGCTTTAAAAAAAAAACCTTTCACTTATTTAAAGGGATACTTCACCCATTTGCATTAAGCTTTGTATCATTAGAAACCTGGTAGTATTTTTGAATGGTCGTGCATCCCGCCCTCATTTTCCCCTGAGATGGGAAATCTTGTATCTTGTATTTCTAAGTCTGAAAAGGAGCTTCCAGTGATGCTAAATGACGATTTTTGCGTCACTGGAAGCTGTTGCGGTTAGCGGGTTGAAACTACATTGCTAGTTCCTCATATTTTCGACCACTGAAGCTACAGACCTATCACAGATCAGTGGGTGGGAACTCACTGCCATGATCGAAACTTAACATCCGCCATATTGCTTGGAAGCTATGCTAACAGGCTCTATGGAGAAAGCTGCCGGGGCTAGCCACTGGCCGCTAGCCGCAGGGGCCACCGCAACACAAGACCGACCTGTCGGCAGCAACTGTCCAGCTCAACAGCCGAGACCTAAGGCCTGCCTGTCGGCGGTGGTGAGGACGGGAGCAGGGGCCGGCTCGAGCTGGGGCGGACTGGTAGTGTCTGTGCTCTCACTGTTTGCCTATGGACACAGACATAGAGTCTGTTTTCAAGATTTATTTTTGGGCTTTTTGTGCCTTTAATCGAGAGACAGGATAGTGGACAGACCCAGAAATCACGGAGAGAGAGTAGGGAAAGACATGCGGGAAAGGAGCCACAGGTGGAACTCGAACCTGGGCCACCCGCCTGGAGGAGCAAAGCCTCCATACACTAACCACTGCGCCACCAGCGCCTCATAGAGTCTTTTTTCTGACTTGAATTTCCAAGATCAATTCTAGAAGAAATCTCTGAATCAGTTGAGGAAACAGCCTTATGTGTTGAAGTAAATATGTCTGTAAATGTTTTTATTACTATATTTCTACTGCTATATTGTATATTTTGGAGAAACTGTATCGATCGAATTTCCCTCTGGGATTAATAAAGTATTTCTGATTCTGAACTAGAGGACCTTAGTGGGAGTGGCCTGCGGTGCTGTGCATTCTGGGATTTGGTGTCTTTCATCCACATGAGCCAAAAAGACACTTTCTGCCTTTTCTCGGGCAAGAAGGCACCAACTTATTTCATTTATTATTTATTATTTAAATTTATTTAATATTTCTACTACATATATGACTCAATGTCAGTACAGATTCATGTTTCAACGGGTGAAGTATCCCTTTAAGAAAAGACGTCCTTTCTGCAACAATATTTTGGTTAGTTTGGATGTTGGTGAAGATGAACCTAACATCATTGTGGTGAAACTAAACACGCTGACAGAACTTATACAGAGCTGGTGCAGAAGTCCATAGGGATTTTAATGTCATAGCTGACACTGCATATTTGGGTAAACCCAGCTGGGTCTTGTTTTCACATCACCAGCTGAGGCTTCTTGCTCCATGAAGATCGTGCTTTAGAATCCAATTTGTATTGCAAAGGTCTGCAGGGTTTTGGTCTGCTTTGTTTGAGAGTCCTGTCCAACAGCTAAGACTGCACCTGTCTGTTGTGAAGGTTGTGAACCTTTTGGAAGTAATGTTAGGTAACAAGAACAGTTAGCATGTGTTCATATCGTAATTCATTCATTACGTAATATGTGGGGTTTATCTCAGCCCCTACATATTTATTTCTTAAACCACCAGAATATATTAGTATTATATTTTATTGATATTTGTCTCTTTCTTCTTCTTCTGCAAATATATTTAGCTACAGTATGTGGTTCCCAGAAACATAATTGATAGGAGAGTGTTACTGTCTTATAAACTCTCTCTGTAGCAGAGTAGTTTTCCATTCATTCTTTCTGTTTTCTCCTGTTTGCAAAGAGCAAGTCCCCTCGGCAAGTGGAACTCTGCCAAAACACTGCAGGCCTCTGGCCATCGCACAAGGCAAACAAAAAAAGTGGAAACTCCAAGGGAGCTGACTCTGTGCACTCAAACTGCAAACATGCGCACATAATCAAATTATCAAAAGAAATGTAAATGCTGTGTGTTATCAGAGTTTATTAAGTGTCCTCAGTGTTATATGGAGACAAAACAAAGAGGAACATTTTTAAAGAAATTGACTCTTTCCCCTTTCTATCACAGCAACGTCTTCAGGGATGTGTACTGTACCCATGTACCATTTTTAATTAGATGCCCAATGGACTCTCTGTTGTACAATAGATGGGTAAATTGGGATTAGGAGTGTGATTAAGGTATGAGCAAAGGAGGCCGGATGTGAATACAGCTGGAGATGTGTTTGAGAAGCTTTACTCAGGTTGAACAAGCTTAACACACATTGAATCTTAAAGAGCACATGAGTCAGTGACTGAAGGTTGACAATGACTCCTGCTAGATCTCACACAACTAGTCGCAATGCAAACTTCAAATCTTCTATTATGCTCATAGAAACATTGTGCAACCCCTATTCATGATAACTTATACATTTCAGTCAAAGGTAAGGCATTACTGAATAGTTACCTTTGCTGCAATATTTTTAAAGGAAGAATGTCCGACATTTTAAACATAACTACAGCAGAAATCAGGTCTATCCTCTGTAAATCCCTCTGAGTTATGACTGTCTTCAATGAGTGAGAGGCGCAAGTCCCACCAGCTGTATTGTTATCGGAGTCGTGTTTACATCATGTTTACATGGACAGGTGGGCCTTGTGTATAAAGCTGTTTTAGGTCAAGGACTAGAGAAAAGAAGAATAACACAGTCTACTCACTGCTTATTTAGATGTCACGTAAATGTATTTAGATCTCGGTCATTTCCGTGTCAATTTATGTGCAATGTTAACCAAAATGTGCTAACATTAGCGTGCTAACACAACACGGCAATTGCAGTTCGAGCCAAGGACAATGTTGTCCAATGCTTGCGCTTAATGGTGCTTAATCATGGTGCGTTCTGATTGATAACTCGAGTGTGAACACGAGTGGAGAGGGGTTGGAGGTGTGCCGCTGGAGGAGAGCGGAGGCTTCAGAATAGTAGAGGTGTCACCAAACAGCAGTTTGTTTTGGTTTCATGCTGTTGCTCAAAGGCGAGAGACACATTCTCTCTGTTCATCAGTGTCTTTCCTTGAATATAATAAACTATCATACCATACTGGATCTCCTAAAATAATCTAGTTACAATAATCAGACCTCTCTTTTATTTAGCCTTTCAGGGCTGAAGCCTAACTGATTGTTCAGTAAATCTTTCCAAGATTTTTGGAACAGTTGTGAGCCAAATGGATGTCTGTGACTATAATTTTAGTTGCCTTGCTTGACTGTACACCATGTTGTTCCTTTTGTATTTCAATGTTCTCTTCAACTATCATACAGCGAAAAAACTAATCCTGGCTCATATCTCAAATAATGTATGTGCTAATACAGGTGACAAACTACTTTACTAGGTCAAATGTAAATCATATAATAGGCAACACAAAGGTCATAACACGTTTAAAAGTCATTGTCAATACATCAGTCAGTATTATATTCTCACTGAGCATATAAAACAAACAGGGAATCTCTGTTTAAAACCATCTGATTAACTCACAGATAGCAAGAAAGTACTGTAACTACTGATCCAAAAATAGAAACACATATTCATCACTGACCTCTGACTTTAACTAAGCAACTAATTCCAATCAGTGAATAATGACTGCATGTTATATTCAGTTTGTATCTGATTACTGAAGTGTTTCAGTTTGTTTCTGAGCTACAGAGCCAAAAAGAATCTGAATCCCCCCGAGGTCCGGGGGCAGATTACCTTGCTTTCTCCTGTCTGGCTGAAGTCTGTTCCGTCACCATCTGCTTCTGCCCGTTCCCTCAAACACTCACTTACACACATACGACCAAACACACTGTTATTCAAGTCCCTAGTGGCTCCACTAAGTCCAAGCTCAATATTTCCTCTGTGGGTCTCTGCAGCACATGGTGCAGCATCTTGACAGTGAAATATGAGTCCTTAATTTAAAAAGCTTTTTCAGAGCTAGCAGCTCAACTCATCTAACTTATGATAACAGGAAGTACTAACATGTATAAGCAGAGCACAACTTGGAGTCAGGGCATTACCTGATATTGTTCTTAAAAAATAAATATGCAGAGGATGCTGTTGATTTGTTGATTATAATTTATTGTATTTGTTTATTTAACATGGAAATGAACATTGCTTCATTATGTAAAATACAAAGTAGATGCCATACATACAGGTTTCTAGAAATGGCTAATGCATCACTTGTTTCTGGGTAGGCTTTAAGGATTTAAACAGAAGGATTAGACTGAAAGAAATACAGAAATAGTGATATGACTACACAAAGATACCGACATGATACCGACAAAAATAAGGTTATGCTGTGAAAAAAGGATCATGAGAGGAAAATGTTATATTCAAGACAATGGTGGGGAAATGTTGATAGAGCGTGGCATAGTTGTGATAAATGTCATTGTGTATAATTATTACTATTGAAAACAATGAGTTTATGGGAATGTTTTTTTTTATTTTAGTGCTCAAACTCACAATAATTAAATTGCACTGTCTTTAAAAACTTTGGCATATATAACAGTGCATGTTTTGTGATGGTGCACAAAGTTCCAGGAAATCAATCATAATTCAGGTCCGTGTTAAACTTTTTTTTTTTTAAATAAAATAAAATAAAAATAAAATATGCAAACCTTGTGATAGTAACTCTTCCAGATCTTCCATAAGTGTAGCTTGTTGGCGTAATACACTGTAAACATCCTCTTCCATGCCCCTAATACTGTGACTTACCTGAAGAGCATTCAGGTATCTTTCCTAGTATCAGCCTTTTGTAGCACACTGTCCACTTTCTGTGTTTTGTATAGATAGGGGTAAACTGTACTGTGAGGAATTGACAGTTAGATGCAAAGACAAACAGCAAGAGCTCCGTATCATCAGTTGGAGTACAAGTTGGAGAAGTTGTTAACAATAAGATATGCAAGAAATCATCTTCAACTGCAAACTACTATGGTCACTTCTGGTCAGATATCTGCTGAATGTTTGGCTGCTCCTTGTTTGACAGAAACGTTGTTAACTGTGCTGCTACTGTACCTGTCTTGGCCAGGAGACTCTTGAAAACGAGATTTTTAATCCAAACATGTTTTTAAATTTACACTACATACTGTATATTTTTCACCTTTTCACTTTTAGAATGGTAGAAACACAAAGCACACACATCCAGACACTGCTGATGCAAACGCTGAGAAAATTATTACTTTGCTCCCAAGTTACTCACAATGCCATTTTGTGTTAAGTATAGACTGAGAGAGGGGAGGGTGTTAAAAACTGAATATGTAGAGACAGAGAATATACAGCTGTTTCATATGAACAGTAATGACACAGCTATGAGCCGCTCCTTCTGTTTGGATGATGAAAAATTGTGCATGTGTAAGATGAAAGGGTATCTTGAATAAAAGCTGCTGCCTGTCGGTACTGCCAGTAACAGAATGAATGCCGGCGAATGAAAACACCCTCAGGCATGACAACACAAGGACATTTTGTGTGTCCAGGTGGTCCTGCAGATGGTCGGCTCGTCCCTGGCGACCAGCTTGTAAAGATCAATAACGTCGCTGTTGATGACCTGACCCCGGAGCAAGCTGCTGAAATAATCAGGTCCTCACTGACAGCTGCACACCAACACACACACACCAACACACACACACACACACACACACACACACACACACACACACACACACACACACACACACACACACACATTTACAGTTAGCATTTTAATAGAACATAGACCTCATGCTTAAAATAATCGTCCTCTTTTTTTTTTCAGGGAGTGTCAAGAATCGTTGACAATGACGGTCCTCAGAACAATGCTGGTGAGTGTGTTGTAGTCCCACAAACACAGTTTCATGAAAAAGTTGAATTATTTGACCCTTATTCCATCTGCGTTTGGCCTGTTTACAAACACATACACAGGGTTGTGTGTACTCATGATTGCATCTTATGGATGTAGTGTGTCCTTACATATTGAATTTTAAACACTGCTGACAACAAAGCCATTAATCAGCATGTCAATGAGGCTTAGGGTTGAGCCTCATCGCTAACAAGCTTCCTGTCGTCAAGGTCTCAGCACTACATCAGTGTTACACCCTCTGAAACTACCCCCACAGACAGATACATACTCAATCTATTCTATGTGTATAACTGACTGTGCACTGCTTCTGTGTGTTTGGGGGGTTCTGGACTAAAACCTGGAAAAGTGATGTCTGTATTTGCGCTAAGATAGAGAGTAGATCGGTAAATAAATGTCTCCTCCTCTGTGATTCTCATCCTCGTCTCTGCTGAGGGTGGCACCTTTACCGTCTAATTTATTGCCCTCAGCTCCTCCAAGAAATTACTGATCTTTTAAGGAAGTATTGGCTTTTCTCATAAAATATGTATCCCTGTCATGGTTGCAAAACATCAACAGAGTTCAGAGTGGAGGCAATGCTAAGTGATGGAGTTTTTTTAATCAAAATCAGACATTGATGTAGGAGCAGAACGTTTGCTCGGTCTGGTAGTTTCAATCCAACTGCATTTACAGATGATGAAAGCAGCTGAGCAGCTAATGGTACAGAAAGGATAGCTTACTTATTGAAATACTCAGATAAAAATGCTTTTTGGATAATTATGTTTTACTGAAAGTCAAATTGTCTTTCTATTACTATATTAAAGTGTTCTTTGTTGGTTGATGTACACATGCATACAGTAACCTGACTCATCTTTTCCTGTTGTGTACAGCTCTTATCATACCATGCTTGTGATTTTATCAAACATTTCAAATGTTTATCCTCGTCTTAAATAAACTTAACTGTGTGTTAACCTTACTTCTAACATCTTATTAGTAAGTCAACAAAAGAAAACTTAATATGTACAGCTTAACAGGTCTTTGCTGCCAATACAGCAAATACAGCTGCATTGTTGATCAAATTTATTTAAAAACTACTTTGACAAACGTATTCATTGGTTTGCATTCCTCACAGGGGCCAAAGTCTTCTTTCATCACACCAGAGAAGCGGGCCAAGCTCAGGTCCAACCCTGTGAAAGTTCACTTTGCAGAGGAGGTAGAAGTAAATGGACACTCTCAGGTGAGTCGAAAAATTATTATTATGCTTTTTTTTCTGGAATCATAATGTTCATAACAATAACATAAGCTCGCAATCAACCAATACTACTCTTAATTGTTAACTTAACTTATTTTGTTTACTCAAGTGGTCTTGGGAAAGTCAGAGCTCTTCACATTCAGTAACAACGTGTATCATGTATTCATGGCTGAGTATCAACACTTAATGTTTTTCTTTATTATTTGGCTGAAAGCACACAACAAACTTTCATCAGTCATTAAGAGCTCTGCTCTGTCAGAACTTTATCAACACATACAGTTTGTGTCTTGAAGACCTTTTTGACATGATGTTCTGGACCTCTGCAGTCGTTATCTGCCGTGTTATAACAGCCCTCCATTCTCTCATAGAGAGGGCTGAACAGACTCTATTATGTTTCTGTTGCTGAGGAAACGGTCATCTGGAAAAAAAATTCTGTTCTTTTGGGATATTGCTGTAGTTAATACTTATTTAAGTTTAAATATTTAAAATGTTTTTTTTCTTATTGAGGCTACGAGACTGTTTGTCCAACTTCTAATGAATGGTTTCCTACTCGTGTTAGTCTTATGCCAATAAGATGAAGCAACATCTGATAACATGAAGGATGTCAACTCAAGAATTAAGAAACCTTTTTGTTTATTTTTATTTTTTTAAACGTGCTCTGCCTCTTAACAGAGCTCCTAGATTTTGGCAGTTCAGAATTTGTCACACACAACAATCTTTGCTTTAAGAAGATTTGATATATCTGACGCCTCTTTTCAAAATGCAGAGGAGTGATCCTTCTTAATTGTTCCTCATGACTCCATGCAGTACGCACTTCTTCTCTCATAAAGCCTGGCTCTGGTCGTTTCCCATCCTGCCACCGGATGTGAAATTAGCTGTGAGAAGAAACCACAGAGGCTGAAGTGCCCATTACTGATCACAGAGAAAACACGGATCGATGCCTCCCTCATCCTCTAGTCCTAATGTCTGTGATTACAGGACAATAAGCACAAGATTAAGGAGAGAGATAGGGATGAAGGGAGGTGAAAGAGTGAAGGGGGGGGGCTGTGTTAGCCATTATTAAACAGGAGAATGCACTCTCTGTTTGAACTTCAATTATACAGACCTCAGTGTTACATTTAATCACAGTGTCAATATTCACTTTCTTCAACGATAATAAAAAGTTAGGATAATGGTGGAAAATATGACTCAACACAGTGAACGGGCTGTGCTGACAGAAACTGACCAGAGGATATGATGGGACCTCTGTCTTTGTCTAAGTATGTCTTCATGTGTACAAAATTTGTTAAAATTAAAATTCTTCTTTGGTTCTAAAGCAGAGATACTTTTTACATTTCTTCAATAAAGTTTAAATAAAACCAAAATTATTTCAACCCCTGTTCAGTTTAATCAGCCTGTATTATAATATTTCTAAATTATGGCTTAAAATAATACACAATGTCAAAAATTCTTATCACATTTTGTTGTAATCTATACACCATCATTTCCATCTCAGCCAAAGTGCGATGGAAGCAGACTTAATGAATAAATCATGGCATACATTAGGCATTTGACTAGACACTGAAGACATGAAGAAAAATGAGTGCAGACAGAAGCATCAGGTCTGTGCAGAGCTGGGAGCATGCTGTAATCCAGCTCACATGTCTTATTCCTGTTATGTGATGGTGTGGCTTTGTGTTTGAAGTTTGATGGACACGTATTTTAATGGAGTAATCTTAGCACACTCTCTTCTTCTGCAACAATAATGTAATGACATCAGACTGAATAAGTAACCCATCAACTGTTTGTGCCACTATTATTTAATCAGGAATCTCCTTGTGACACACATTTTGCTCTCTACCTGATGATGTTCAAACTAAAACACACTTATTACTTGGTGCTATTTTCAATATTACAAATCCTTTATGTTACCGGTTAAATGCATGTTAAGGTTAGTCAATCGTGCTTCTTATCCTTTCAGGGAATATTGTTCATACCCATCCACTTCTGCGCTTCAAAGTCACACAATCCAATATGAATACTTTAATGTCCTCACATTTAGATCACTGTAAATCAGACACATCTGCCTCCAAAGTCTAAAAACACAGCAATGAGACTTCTCATTCAAAACAACAAAAGCCTCCTCTAATTGTCCTTACATTCAACTGGAGGTGACCGAGTAGGAATAACAATGAAGCATCACTTAAACATCCATATTATGCAAAACTGGCCCCATTGACAAAACATCAAGCCATCTATAAATAGACATGTGCTAATGTCATTAACCGATGGGGGCGGCTGTTGCACAGTTAGTAGAGTCGGACGCCTATCAACCGGAAAGTTGGGGGTTCAATCCCCAGCTCCTGCAGCTACATGTCCGATGTGTCCTTGGGCAAGTCACCTGACCCCGAATTGCTCCTGCTTCTTCGGCTGTGGTATATGAGTGTATATGAATGGAATTAGTTACTTCTGATTTTCACTTTACACAGCAGTCTCTGCCATCAGTGTGTGAATGTGTAGGTGTGACATAGAGGGGTGTAAAAGTGTGATACAAGCTCAAGTCCATTAACCATCAATTTAATGCTGGCAAACTAGTGTGCCTAACTACTGATTTAGAGTTTTTATATAGGGCAGAAGAAGTCACCTGTGAGACAAAGTCTGATTTGTTTTCATGGTCAGCTGTGAAAGAAAATGTCAACATTTCTTTCCTTTATTGACTCTGTGTCATATTTTCATGTCAGGCTGTTTAGTCCTCTTGAACCAGCAGGTTTTTATGATGTTGACACTTCATCTGACACTTGCCATGACCTTTGACCACAATGTCTGATTGACAGGGCAACTCGCTGCTCTTCCTGCCTAATGTCCTGAAGGTGTATCTGGAGAACGGGCAGACCAAGGCCTTTAAGTTTGAACCCAGCACCACAGTCAAGGTAATAGGCAATGATACACTCATGTTGATATACTGTATGTTGCTATTTATTGCCCGCTTCATGTCTTCCTTGTCCTGGATGCATAACAAGGTTGGGGAAATCTGTGAGATCACACACTGAAGTTAAATTATGTGCTTACGCAACGCCAGTATTTGCTGTGATTCTTAATTTTCACACTTTCTTGTATTGCACTGAAGGAGGAGCCTGATGCTGTCCTCAATAAGCTCTGTATAAAAATGTAACCATACAACTGAGCTCAGCTCATTTCAGCAACTATGTTCCTGAATGTTGTGCAGTAATGTCATTGAGAAGTCATTTTCTTTGTACATCAGGACATTGTGATGACCCTGAAGGAAAAGCTTTCTCTGAGCCGTATTGAACACTTCTCTCTGGTGCTGGAGCAGCAGCACAGCATCACCAAACTACTGCTGCTACATGATGAGGAGAGGATACAGCAGGTACACACACACACACAAACACACAGACTCATACATGTGTATCCTACAGCTCTGTTCTGAATGTGGTTTAATCTGCACAGCACTAAAGCTTTCACCTGCTTTTATGTATTTGAAGCTAAATGACTTCTTTCTCTATTAGCACTTTGTTCTAGTTGTTTCTTTTTTCACTTACTGTGAAACAAATTGTCTTGCCTTGTGTATGAAATGTGCTTTATATTTAAGTTTGACTTGACTGTGTGTTCAGGTGGTCCAGAAGAAAGAGGCCCATGACTACAGATGTCTGTTCCGTGTCTGTTTCCTGCCCAAATTCCTCCAGACGTTGCTGCAGGAGGATCCAGCTGCCTTTGAATATCTCTATTTGCAGGTAGATTGATAAACATCTTTCCAACAAAGATCTTCAGTAGTTAATTGTTCGTATGTCTAATACATTTTGATTGTTTCTTTATTCTTGCTTTTCTTCTTTTTTTGAGATCCTGTGCAGGGGTTAGAAAAATAATAATAATAATACATTTTATTTAAAGACCCCCTTCAAAACACTCAAGGTCATCTTACAACAAATTCAATACATCAATAAAATTAAGATTAAAAAGACAAATGAACAGAATGTAGTGGATTTATGAGACTGGGTGGAGAATGATCAGACTGAATATGCCAGTTTAAAAAGATGTGCTTTGAGATGTGATTTAAAAATGGAGAGAGAGCCGATATTACGGATGTGTGGGAGGGAGTTCCAGAGTCTGGGACCAGAGCGACTGAAGGCCCTGGACCCCCATGGTGGACAGGCGGGCGGGTGGTGCAGTGAGTTGAATGGAAGAAGAAGATCTGAGAGTGCGGGTGGGTGTGTTGATGTGCAGGAGTTCAGAGAGGTAAAGCAGAGCGAGGTTATGGACGGCCTTAAAGGTGAGGAGCAGAATTTTGAAGTTGATGCGATATTTAACCGGGAGCCAATGAAGCCTCTGGAGGACAGGGGTGATGTGATTAATAGAGGGAGTTCTGGAGATGATGCGAGCAGCAGAGTTCTGGACCAGTTAGAGTTTGTGGATGGACTATATGTTATGAGCTGCTTTGATGTAATTGTACACTCACCAGAAGCTGGGAAATAAATCAAGATATACAAAATTAAAACAAATAGTTTAGGATTAGGGTGTACAGACGGAGAAAAGTTTAGGGGGCCCCTACAAAAACACACAAATGTATTTGTTTGTTGTTGTCCAGATAGCACATTTACTACATGTGTGAGAAAGCTACAAAACATCTGTTTGTAAATTCTATCATCAAGAATAGTAAAAGTGCCAGTTCTCTACCAGTGTGACCTGATTTAACCTCCCTGCTCTGTTGAAATGGTATCCAGTAGCAGCAGACTGACTCAGTAGTCAGCTTGTTTTGAATCGTGCAGTCTTTCATTAAAACCCACCCTGGTTTTACTCCTGTACTGTTGTTTTGTAATCCAAATGGAACTTTTAGATTTTGTCCTATAACAAGCTTCATTTAATTTAATTTAATTTATTCTACAGGAAAGTTTAAAAGTAACATTAAGTTACAGTTTAACGGGCCTGACTCAGTTTAAAAACTGGTTTCCAGCAGGTTCCTGTTCTGCAGAACATGAAACGTAAACCACAGTCATGACACATCAAGACAAAGACATTTACAGGACATTAGCATGGGCTAGGCAGATACAGACAAATAGAAACAAACAGTACAGATACTGCGAACAATACTTGAACAATACTTGAACAATTAATGAGTGCAGGTGTAAGTGTGGAGAAGGTGTCATTTCTATGTATTTTTAAGCTTAATATTGTTTATAAACTCCCTGCTTAGTAGAGACCCAATTACGTAGTTCTTTTACATCCAAAAAAGTTGCCATCTGTTGTTAATGATACTTTAGCTCAGCCACATAACATAAAAGTGAAGAACAACATGAATGGATCTAAAATGAATACAAACATTACCTGTGATTGTTTTGGGAAAAGTATTTGTGCATATTTTTTTAATTACCTACACTGTTTTTTTTTTATTCTGTGTCTGTTGTGTTTATATTTCAGGGAGTGAATGATGTGCTGCAGGAGCGCTTTGCAATAGAGATGAGGTGTAACACCGCCTTGAGACTTGCTGCTCTTCATATCCAGGAGAGACTAGCAAGCTGTGGACAGTCACCAAAGACCAATCTGAAGAATATCACGTGAGACACACAAACATTCAAATGATATCCTTTTCTGTGTTTATACACTAAACTAATACTAGTAAATGCCACAGAGCAAAGTGACTTTTTTCTGAGAAACTGCGATAAGTATTGTCGGATATTTTAAAGCAGCAACCCAGCTACTCACAGTTTAACAACTTGCATTGTAAAACTCCAGCCTTGAAGCACTAAGACCTTTAGGTGAACATCAAGGATGAAATTCATTTTGTTTTCACTCAGGAAACAAACTGTGCCTTCAAAGTTCCACTGGCAATACTCCTTACACTTATGTATAGCATCCACAATGACATAACACTGTGTAGTTTCTCACACACAGCAGGAGCTTCACATAAACACACACATACGCACACACATAGTGCTATTCCATCTTTCCAGCTCAGCCATTAAACATTTTAGATGGCTGTTACTACACGTACAACTACTACTCAAATGGCGGATCAGGGGTGGAACAACTTCGCCCCACCATTTAGCCTGTGCGTAACACATTGCAGTTGAGGCATAAATATAAAATATGAACTGGCAATATGTAAGCGGCTTGTGTTTTTTTTATTTTGCTCCAGGAAGACATGGGGCATAGAGAACTTTGTGTCATCCACCTTGTTGCGGAACATGCGAGAGAAAGATCTGAGGAAGGCAATTGGCTACCACATGAAGAAGAGCCAATCACTGCACGATCCTAAGCAGAAGGGCCTGTCTGCTAATCAGGCTCGCATCAACTACCTGGAGGAGCTGAGCGATCTCAAGTCATTTGGAGGGAAATCCTTCAGTGCCACCATGATGGTAGGGCTTCTGACAGCTTTTTGTCAACATTTGTTCATTTTTTGTGGGGACGTGGTTGATTTAAGTTTCCATCAGTATCATTCTCAGTACATTGTCTTTCTCTGTCTCTTTTGGTATCATGACTCCTCCCCTGCATCCCCACCTTTCAGCTCCAGGACAGGGAGTCAATGGTGAGCTTGTTAGTTGGAGCACGCTATGGTGTGAGTCAGATAGTCAACCACAAACTGAGCATCCTGTCGAATCTGACAGAGTTTACCAGCATCACACGCATTGAGCTGCTGCCCGAGTCTGACAAGGTCAGCCTGGTCAAAATCTACCTGCAGGACATCAAGGTAAGCACTCAGCCGACACCTCACATACAGCCAGACCAAGTAGAGTAAAGCAGTTCAAAAAGGAGGAATTTGAACTTTAAAGTAACTGAATCAGCACTACAAAGGCTAGTTATATTGGGTTCGGTTCCAATTAGCCATATTTATTCTTCCTCTGTTGTTGCACTCTGTCTGTGTAAAGCATGTCTAATGAGCTGGTACAGGAACGGCTGAACTTTGTATTTTATGCACCAGCAATTTGACAGAGAAGAAATCTAAAAGCTCCAAATCGTTCTACTGGCTGATATGATTAATATTGTCAGCAATTTCTTCTAAAGATAGATAGAAAGATAGAAAGCTGTATTATTTTTTTTATTTTTATTTTTTTTGGGGGGGGGTGTATTTTGATGTTGTGGGTAATGACAATTTGTTAAAAAAAACACTGGTCAAGTCTGTGTCAGCCTGCTTTGAATTTACTGACAAAGTAAACCCTACTTATACTTCAACATGATCTAAGACTCATTGTAACCTGGATTCAATACATAGTTTCATCTATAAAGAAGACAGAAGAAGGAGCAATGATTTTATGTCATTAGAAACTCAGTGATTGACAAATTCAGAAAAATGAAAGCACCTTTAAGATATGACAAAATCCATCCCTCTGGGATCTGGTACCACTGATGGTAGGATTAGGGTTAACAAAGCTGCTAATTAGCGTTCACCTTAACATAACCTTTCATTAAAGCAGTACTCCAAAGCTGATTTTTTTAACCCTTTAAGAAGTGCATCAGATTTTTCGTCAGTAGAATGATCTTACACAACAAGAAAAACTGCTGACATTCTTTTATCACTTTCTCTCTCTCTTTGCTCTTCCTGTCTCTTACATCTTGTGTCCTCTCTCATGCACAGCCCATCACGTTGCTGTTGGAGTCAGTGGCAGCCAAAGATATGTCCTGCCTAATAGCTGGGTATTGCAGAGTGTTTGTTGACCCCAATCTTAACATCTTTCCCTGGATTGATGACTCAAGGAAGCACAAAGTGTCTGCCGAGGAAGGTACAAAAAAATACACATACACAGAAAAACAGTCACTTTCTATTAATCTACGATAAAAAGTATTCTTAAGAAGCTACTGTTTTCATTTTGGTGTATCTTCACAGGTTATGTGTCCCGCTGTGGCAGCGACTCAGATAACTCGTCAGACTTGGACATGGATCCACTGGTGACCCAGATGTCTCAAGACGACAAGCCCTGCCATCGTGTCAGATCCGCATCAGATCCAGATGGAAGGAAGAGGAAAGCCAGGGAAAGAAGGAAAAACAAAGAAAGCAATGAAAACAGAGATAAACCTTGGGGGAATAAAAAGGAAAAGGAAGAAAAGGATGCTGACACGGAAAAGGAAGGTCCACTTGATACAAACAGAGTGGCTAAGAAGGAGGATACAGAGCTCAAGGAGGAGACAAAGGGAGTGATAGGGAGGGATACTTTGCAAATACAGATAGAGATAATTAATGATGCAGGGGAAAAGCAGAAACAAATGGGACAAGCAGGTCAGACGGGAGATAGGGGAGAGATGGGAGCAGCAGATGAGCAGCCTCCTGTATCAGAAGCGTCAGATTCTTGTCACTCTGACTCTCGTGTACTCACCAGCCCGTCCAGCGACTCCCTCGACGCTTTGGAGGAAGATGACTTACTGTCGTGTTCTTCTTCCACCATTAATCCCAGTGCTCATGGTCATACCCACCCTCCCTTTCAGTTACATCACTTCTCTTACGGAAACGCTCAGTCCCACTTTCTTGGCCCTCCACCAGCCCACTCTCATCCACTCATCCACCTCACAGCTCCCCACAGAGGAGGAGGAGAATACAGGAGGTCAGGCGATGGAGCCGATCCCCAGCTCCTCACACCTGCCTCCCCCTTACCGGGTCTTCACCATGTCCAAAAATGTGTAGACAACCCTTATTCTAGTGACAGCTCCCTGTGTTTCGCTGAGCTCTCCCGCCTTGTAGACTTCTTGCCGAGCCCTCCAGAGGCCAGCGAGGACGAAGATGAAGAGGAGGAGCTGAGGAGGAGGAGGAAAAAGATGTCAAAAGAAAGGATTGAATCTGTGAGAAGAGCAGGTGAAGGTGGAAGTGTGAGCGGGGAGGGTTGTTATAAAGAACGTCCACTTGCCCCTTCCCCGTCCTCCCCCGCCTCCAACATGGAGTTTGTGTTTAGCTTTGACCAGAGCGATGCCCGCTGCTACTACAAACTGTGCTCTAACATCACCCCAGACAGCGCCCGCAGCCTCACCCTCCCCTTGAGTCAAAATGAGGGAGACGATGTGAAGGTGGTGGAGGGAGATCCTGCTAAGGGGGCCGACTTGGAGTCCGCTCCAATCCTTCAGCCTCCCCCTGGCTTTGGAGACAGCAGTTCCGATGAGGAGTTCTTTGATGCAAGAGATCGCTTCACCTCCCCTGAAGACCCCACCTTAGGGGCCCTGCCTAGAGGTAGAGGTGATATTTTTCTTAGTAGTGGGCTGACCACATGCTTTTCTTTTTTTTTTTTAGTTCAAAGTGAAGGGCTGTTAATTTGGGATTCACTGCCATCTAGTGTTGAAAGTTTGTACCCCACAAAACTAATACAACATTTGAACCAGGAAAGCAGTACTGTAGATATACTTTTGACCACAAATACTGTAACAGAGATTCTGGCTGTGACTTTAAAGATCCAGACTTCAGAGCTCAGTGTCTCACTCTTGTCCGATCGATATAGTTAATAAGTTTGTGTGAGGTACTTGGAGTTTGCCCTTTAGAGTAGTGGTTCTATTTTGGTGCTTGACTTGTTACTTCACCATGTTTATCTGACAGATATATAAGTGCCTACCTCTTTGGGAAGTGACCCCATTGAGAGCAGTAATCTACTGTAAATGAGGCCCTACTTGTAATGTTCTTAATGTTTTACAGTTTTACTACAGAGAGATTAACAACGAATATAAAATATACAAAAATACAGTTACATCAAGATGTCAAAACTTCATGCAAATCTTACCCAAAATTGTTTTTACTATGTTACTTCCCCCAAAATCAATGTAACTCTTCTTATTTATTTTGTGAACTTGGCCAATCTGATTCATATAAAGTAGTTATAATTTGCAGCATCTCTGTGCCTGCAACAGCCACCACCAATCACACAATCAGACCACAGAAAAAAAAAATCAAATTTCTAAATGTACTTGACCAGATAAAGCAAAAAAAAGATCTATGGAAATTGCTAAAATGTTATAAATGTACTATGACTGCTTAAAAATGAGTTTTGATTTATTAGGTTCGTTTAGATTCTTTGGTGGAGATTTGAAGATGAAGATTTACAAGAGGAGACCATCAGAGAGACGATAACACATTTCTACATATTACATTTGTATTTCTATTTGAACCATTAGACATTTAAATTAAATAAAGGATGTTTTTTTTGTCAGCAAAGACTACTTACAAAGGTTCAGGATAACATCAACAAAGACAGAAATCACCCCACTTTGGTCAAGCTTTAACAATTGCAGATGTTGTATTATTGTATTTATTCCAAAGTATTTTTTTTTCTGCTGATTCATTGAGTACAGATTTAGTGTTGTCTCACAGTGCCTTTATGTGTGGAAAATATTAACTATTTTAACCTGAAAGACTGAGAGGAAAGTAATCAGTAATTTGACAAGAAATCTAGGAGGGCGTGTATAGGATTATAAAATGTTTAATTCCCCTTCATCCACAGGAAACTTCCTCCTTGGTATTCATAGGGAGTTTTTTTAATTCAAACTTATTTTGAAAGTGTGTTTTAACAAAACTTTGTCTGAGATGTTTTTACTGTTTTTACAGATATTTGCACAGAAATGAAACTGGACTTCCTCAGTACACTCAGTCTCAGTGACATTGGAGTGTCTGTGATGACAGACAAAGATGAAGAAGCAGAGGAAGATAGGACAGGTGAAGATGAAGAAGGAGGAGGCAAAGAAACATTGCACCAGCTCAGGAAACGATCACGTAAACGCCGTTCCTTCATGGAAACTGATTACACCTCTACAGTGTCATACCCAGAGCATGATCCAGGATCAAAGCAGGACCAGGTCTCCAGTGAGATTGACAAAAACCTTTCGTCAGAGAACAATGAAGCACAGATTCTAAGTTCAGATCCTGAACCTTCCAAGCAAACTCAGAACCCCAGTCCTACACTTTCCTCCTTGACTCACTCTGAAGGGGAACCAGCTCAGCTTGAATTAAAACCCATCTTGTCCAAACAACGCTTGCAGGGACCTAGCTCGCCTTGTGGTTTTGATTCTAAAGACCAGACAAGAGAACCACATGCCCCCTCCAGATCCAGAAATCAAGAAATGGAGATGGAACCTGATGCAATGGAATCCAAATCGGTCACAGATCTGGTAAAGGCGGCGTCTCCTACGATAAGCGTTGTCCGCTGCCGGGTGGATCCAGACGGAAAGGAAAGTGCTGATCGTAGGGGTGACGGCAAGGAGGAAGGAGAGGGGCTGGGTGAGACGGGTAAGAAGAAAGAGGAGGGAGAAAAGGAGGAGGCAACCAGTGTTTCAGAAAATGGGCCTTTCACTCATCATATGTTTTTACCAGAAATCCACAAAGAGGAAATCAAGAGGGAAGAAGAGAAAAAAGCCGTGCTCAGTGAGAGCTCATCGAGCTCAAAGAGACCTCTCATAGCTAGTATAAAGCAGCCCGAGGCTAACAACCTCCCTAAATGTTCCATAGGTGTGAATAAAAAGAGTAGTAATGGCCTTTTGGGAGGCCCTCTGATCAGCCCCGAGCAGAATTCATATTTGGAAGAACATTTATTTGACAGCATGCATGAAAAGTCAAACCCTCTACCATACTCTCCACCTCCACCTCCACCGTCACCCCCTCTACCTCCAATACCACTTTGTCAAAAATCCCCAAGTGACTGTTTGATGAAGGAAGAAGGGGGCAGCGAAGTCAGGAGAACCTTAACCAAAACATCTTTGTGTAGTTCTGCTGAGCTGCCACTTAGCAAACAAAACCACGTGAACAAAGCACAATTGCATTTAGAAGTCACCGCCAGTGTTAATGAGGACGAGGCCATTAGTGGTGTTAGTCCCACTATGACTATTAGCGATGAAATAACTGACAGCACCAATTCAGACAATGTTTTTGATGATGATGAGGTGAGTAATTCTTTAAATTATTTTTCAAGTGGCCAAAAAGAGGGCTGGGCCACAGACACAAAGCATAACAGCGTTGCTAATTCAAAGTCAACAACTATTAAGTCTCATCCTAAAACTGAAGCTCATGCAAGAATGAATTCAGTTAATCCTGATTATACTCATACTATCAACTCTATCACTGCAAAACTCGGAGCTGCAACAAGTGTTACATCTCCTACATTTAATTCAGATACCAGATTGAAAAGTGACGAGGGTCTTTCATGCTCAAGTCAAAATGTAGACAAACCAAGAAGTGATGTTACGATTCCCAGAACTGAAGTCAAAGGTAGCTTAGCTAGTCCTAGTTTAGTCCAAGCGTACGCAGGCACAATCCATGATCTATCCAAAGAGCCCCCCTCACCAACACACTTTCTCTTTCAGCCATGCTCCCCTAGCATAATGGGTCGCTTATCTGCCTCCACGCTAAGAGGAAAGATTCAACAGCTGCCCCTTTATTTATCGCGCTCCCAGGATACCCTCAACCAAGCAGGAGTGGGCAATGTGCGTCAAAGTCCTGCTGAGGACAGATGTAAGGACGATGTCGAGATAACCATCAAAGTTACAGACGTTAATGACGTCACACAAACCGTAGATTCTGAACTAGGCCGATCAAACTCAGTGGATTCAGATGGTTCGGACACAACTGTTACAGGGTCAGAGGTGGACAGGGACTTTCTTGCAGAAACAGCCACTGCAAAGGGTTTTCATTCTGGATCAGAGGTGAAGGAAGTAAGCTCTCCATCGCCGGTCCAGACTGAGCCTAAATCCCAATACCGAAATCAGCTACTGTACACGGGACCTATCAAGAACACACCCGGACCTATAACAGAGCCTCCATCGTCCATAGTGAACAACTTTCAGAGAGACTCTTCGGGCATAAAGACGGACACTCCCGGACCAATGAAAGATGCTGTACCTTCTATCCTTTCTCCGGTAGTTGTCACCACACAGAATCTAAATGGGCCTGGAATCCCTTTTCATAGTCAGTCACAGAAAGTGAGACGGACCAGTAGCGACAGGCCTTTGATGGGTCTTTGTAGGCCCACTGGGCAGAATCTGGACTCACCAAAAACACTTAATTCAGGTTGCAGGGTGTTCACAATCTGTGAGGATTCACTGCAGACAAAAACCCCAGTCGAGCTGGGGAATGCCCCGCTCTTAAAGTCTGAGTTTGGCTGCGGCTCAGTGCTAGTGTCTGGATGTGAGACAGTTATGGAAGAGGTGCAGATGCCTCTGGATGCCTGTGGTTGCCCTGCAGTTTATACGAACTGCTTCAGTAGTGGGGACGGCTTTGATGAGGAGCTGACCGTCTACGAGTTCTCCTGTCGTACTCAGAGCAGCGGTGTCACACAGACTTCTGGAGCAGGGCTTCCTCTCATGACTTCATCACCTATCCACTCCTTTCTCTCGCCTACGTCTTCCAACATCTCTCCCTCTTTCCCGCGCTCCATCCTTTTCTCTTCTTCAACCTCAGAGCTCAGCCCCCTCCTCTCACCGCTGTCTGACAGCTCGGACTGTTTCCCATCTCAAACACAAAAGGACACCATTAGTCAGCTGGGTCAGCAGCGTTACCCAGAACCCCCAACTGGTTTCCAAGTACTTCGTATAGACGTGGATCAGCTCCTTACAATCCTGGAAAGTACTGGTGTCGACCGGTCAGTGGCAGGATATGGGGGTCGCCATCCAAGGGACACCTGCCCCGCCCATTTTACAGAGAACAAGCGCGTGCTCCAGGTAGAGGCTCGGAGACTGATGTCAGGCTGCCAGGAGGTGGTCGGCATTGGACAGAGCCCAGAGGAAATGCTTTGCTCCCTTGCTAACAGTTTCAGGACCCTGGTTGAGTTGGCAGGTATATGCCTCTGGTTCTCAGGCTGCGACAGGTGTGACCGGAGGAACGCAGAGGCAGTTGCAGGTCTGGTAGATGTCGCCCGCTCATTTAGAGACTTCTGTCTCGCAGCAGAGCGCGCCAGCAGCAAACGCAGCTGCCAAGACCTGAGCACCAAGCTGCTAGCCAAACAGTGCACCGCGCTCACCGCCTCCGTCTTCTGCCTCACTCAGCTGTTCCGCACCCTCACTGCTCTATGAGAGAACCAAACCCTCTGGACGCTTGACAATGACACTAAGTCAACATGTGGTCTCTGACCTCACGACAAGGGATCGTCAATGAGACCCACGTTGCTGTACATGTGGGCAGAGTGTGTCATACATGTTCAGAATGAGCAGGTGAGCACAAGGTGAGGTTTCCCCAGAAACACACTGGTGGGGCACCGAGCTCGATGAGAGCTCAAATGATCACAAAACTCTCAACATCATACAATAGAGCCAGTTTGAGATTGTTGAGGTGCATGTGGTTGTTGACTATATGCTGTGCACGTACTGCAGCCAACAAACGAAACAGTCAGCCAACACCCGGACTTCATAGTGGTGCAAACTGCAAAAGCAGAACCTGCTTGCAGAGCCTGCTTGCGTTACAGTATTGAGGAACTGCTGTACTTGAATGTATTCTATGTTATTTATTATGTTTATTTAATTTGATTATTGGGTCCATACAGTGAGCAAGCAAGGAATGTTAAGACAAAGAAGGAAGAAATTTGGAAATGTTTACAGGCAAAGCTTTAGGTAGAGAAGTGGTGTGTGAGAGCTGTGGAGCGTTGACACACTTACACAAGCACACAACCTCAAATACACAGTGTGAATCAGTAAAGATAAGAAACTCTGCATGTCTTTACATTGTCCAGGATGTCAGAGGGGAGTTCCTTGAATGTTACTGTTTACAAAACCAAAAACTTGAGTGAGGAATGATTTAACCGAACCACACAAATCAAAACTGAAGGTGTGTTTGCTGTTTTATAAATCCAGTAGCAGAATGCTGATATAAGCGCATTATCTGAGTTTATGAAACAGTTCAGATGAGGTACAGATCTTTGCACATTCAACTTTTTGTCATTTTGCACATGCATTCGGTCAAACTAATTGAGACATACATTTGTTCGATTTTCTAATTTGTTAAACACTCTCTTTCTCCACCTCCAGTTGAAACACAGAATCCTCCAGTGCATGGTGAGATGGGTGTCAACACTAAGTGCATTATTTCTTCCAGTTATGACTACAAGTAGTGAAAAACTAATGAATGAACACAGGCACAGATAGCCTTAGCAGTGACGGTTTACAATATGTAGCACTGTTGGTTATCTGTGTGTGCATTATCAGCTTTTGACTGGCACGATAAGTGGGAAGGGTCTCAGGAAACATCACTGAACTGACCCAGTCATCCGTTGACAGCCTATCATTGCAGTTCCTTAAAGTCAACACATTGGTCACCAAACAACAACACAGATTCCGTAAAGTTAATTGTGAATGAGCTGTGCGATACAGCATTTTCACTTGTCATGTTTGTTGAAGTAAAATGATTTGATGCTCACTGGAACTGCATGTTCACTGGAGAGTTTAAAGCTTCCACCACTGCTTTACTGGGAACACAATTTATGCAAACAGTATTTCTACATATATATATATATTTATAATGGCATTGAAACACTTCATCATTTAACTGTCCTGTTTTGTTCTCTGTGGTTATTACAGAATATAATTTCTGGATTATTTGTCCCATTTTTTTTTTGCTGAGAACTGATGTACTTTGGAGCTCAATGAGAAAACTGTCCCCAAGTGAAGGATGCAAAACATTTTTTTTTTTAAAATCATCTGTGCTCACAAAGCATGCTAATAAGCCATAAAATGCATTGTCGTTTCATCAGGGATTTTATCTGTGAATGACTGAATGATGACGTCTGCTCTTGCTTTGTAATGCTCAACTCCCACCATTAAAACTACGTCAAGAAACTCCTTGTACATTCTTTGCTCAATCGACTAAACCGCAACCAGGAGAGTTCATTAAACATATCTGTTTTTAGAAGCAATGCCAGAAAGTCTTTACGCTACAGACAATACTGGGGTGACAAAAGATGATTTATTGATCAAGTAAAAAGTAGGCTTACATACCAAAATGGTGACACTTGCACTGATTTCCTTTTCAAGTGTGCTTACTATTCATCTAGCATATGTATTTGTGTATATGTATATCTATTAATATACATATACATGTGATTGATAGAAATGCATTAAATCCAGCACAAAGGCAAAACTTGGTATATGTCATGAGTTGATTACTTTCTACTTAGCAGAATAGGATGCCACCTTTGCCTCAAGTTGGGTCAAGACATTTTTACTCTGACTGATCTGTCCCGGTCCATTTGTTCAGGAGTGGAAAATCAGAGAAGCAACAGCTTCGTCACAAAGTGATGGACCATGTTCGTTCACAGAGTGTGACTAATGAGTGATGAAGTGTGTAAAAATCTGTCTTCTGTTGCATCACACACTACAGAGGTAAAAAGTGGAAGTAACATGAGCGCAATGAATGTAAGCCTCACATCATGTGGAATGCAAAGCTGCAGCTGGTGTTGATGAAAGAAATTCAGACTTGCCCCCTAAGAAAGGTTCTGCATGGATTGCAAGTGCCATACTCTACGGTTGGTTCTAAAGGGACCCTTTTTTCCAGAGTATGGGCTGGGCCCCCTAGTTTCAGCCAAAGGTCATCTTTATACAACAAGTTACAAAGATATAAAAAAACACTTTGTGGTGACAGCCTGGTGTACACTCTTTGCAGGTCCAGCATGACTGTTCCTCACATTAGATAGGTTCAGAACTTGATTTGCCTCCACAGGGCCCAGACAGACCCCAACACGTTTTGGAGGACTAAGAAACCAAAGATATTGAAGATATTTTCATCTTCCAAAGGTTACCACTGTTCTCGAGCTTTAAACTCTTGACACTGGAGTGGGCACGCACTGTAGCCACTCAACGTTCTTGAAGCCAAAATACGCCGCTTAGGGGCGCTTCTATTTTGCGATTTTGACGTCATTTGGAGCCAGAGTCTGCGCAGTAGGGTCCGGGGGGAGGAGCCCTGGTAACACGCCCCGCCCACTTAGCGTACTGCCCTGATGACTTACGCAGCCCAGCTACGCCGAAAGCGCTCTGCCGGTCTACGATGAAGAAATGTGTAAGTACAACAACCACCGTATTCAAAGTCTAATATTTAAACACACTGTGTTTTAAAAAATCCAGTTATTTTGATCATTATTGAAAATACGTGGGCTGCTGGGTCCTCTGTTTTTGCCGAAATCGTTCTATATTTAAGCTATATTTAAGCTAGGTTAGCACCACAGACCGTAGGCTACAGGTGATAAGATATGTTGTATTCTGTTAGAAACTGATAGTCTGCAATGTGAGTCATGTCTGCTTTTCTAATATATTTAAGTGAACAGTAAATCAATCGTTTTTTATGTCTTCATTTACGCAAAGAAGAGATAAAAGCAGCTGGTCTGACATCTTCCACAGAGGTGAAGTGTAACTTAAAATCATCTGTTAAAAGTTTATATCCTGTGATTGTTTTTAAGTTTCATAAAGAGGATTGTGAAAACAAGCTATTGTTAACAATACAGTCTTCTAAAATAAAAATCACACTGAGTCATACACCAGCTAAATGTTAAATAGAAAGGTGATGTTTTCTTTTCCATTTTACAATCAACAGAAACAAAGACAAGATGATGGCGTCCACCTTCACAAGCTGCTGCTTCAGTCTGGCTGCATCATGGTCACCTACAGGAACACCACAGAAATGCAATCAAAGTACTTCACTTTATTTATCAGAGGATGTACTGTATGCAAAGTAAAACAAAATTAGCTGTAATTCCTCAAAAAGATTTGAGACTGCTTTGTTATTTGAGAGCACAGACTGTTTCTTTTCCCTTCTCTCTGTTTGCCTGTACATGACCTTTTAGTGCTGTAAAAGATGCTACAGTAAATCCTGGATCAGCTGTGCGGATGGTGTGACTGTGTGGTAAAGCTTTGTTAAAGTTGTCACGCACATGCTCATATGCCTTTGGAGAGTAAAAGTACAGTGTGGTGGCAAACTGCTTATAAAATATCAAATAGTATTTTATTGGTGAGGTGCCTCAATCAAAGCGTCCTACAGAGTAGCAGCAGCTTTAGAGGGAGGAGACGAGCGCATTATGGAGAGGAGCGCACCAGAGGGGGCGAGCTGGGGGAGAGAGACGCGCAACCTGAGAAAAAGGAAATCCCCAGTTTAAAAATATAATGTTGGTGAAAAGAGGGAAATAGGACGACATAAATGTCAATGTTGAAATTCTTTTGAATACAGAGGCTGTGAATGTTCAGTTTTCTTTGGATATAAAAAGGCAACAATAGCCTGTAGTTTAATCCTGGTGTTTCTCTTCGTTAACGATTATTGAAGCGAAATAAAAAATAAATGCATGACATTTAAAACATATTAACATGTGTGGGGAAAACGCAATCTTTATGTCTTTTTTTATTGTGCCCATGTCTCCTCCTAACTACAATAACAGCAGCATGTTGTGTGTAACACTGGTCTCCTGCATTAACACCTTCCTTTCAAAGGTGTTAAATACAGACACAGTCACAATCACCTCAATGTTTGTCAGGTTTTGTCAATTTTTAGAACAATTTCTCAATGAGTGTCATTAAATTTACAATATGATCAACTTGTGACTGTTGAATTGGTAGTGTGTGGAAGACAATGCAGAATATTTATCACGTTTAAGCAGCATGATGCTCGGTTAATATTACATTACACTGCCGCTGGTTGTTGATGTTTACGTTCACGTTTCGGTTAGTCTCTTAAATCAGTAACAGTTATATTAAATCAGAGCTTACCTTTAGTTTTATCTGGATACATAGAGAAATATTCTACCCTTGTATATAGTCCTATGAATTTCAGCCTGCACGGTGAAAGTAAAACCTGTTACTCTCGGTATAGCCCACTTATCACTCAGACTGTAAACATGTACACATTAGTAATGATGCAGGCCAGATTACAATTACGTGAGTTTGTTTTTGCCCTCGATACTTTTTTGAGACTTTACCAGATGTTTTTATTTTTGCTGTAAAATAACTGTACAGTCAATGAACCGCATCTGTGAGCGGATTTTATATTACGATTCTTGGTTTTAAATACAATTTCAATCACAATAACGACATAACTATATCAAGAAACATAGCATGTCAGTTATTAGGTTTGCTCATTTAATAAAATAAAATAAAAAGATAAATCATGCCGGATAAGTAACCTAGCTTTACAACATTTCAGCTAACCTTAGACTGCTTATGTGTTAGCTAGCTAGATAACGACTTTAACCAAACAATGACACATAAATCACTTTTTTACTTACCGAAAAAACTGCAAAGATCCCTTAGATCCTGTCAATCATCGTCAAATATGACGTAAAATCCCGTTTTTCAACCTCAAATAACTTATTTAAAACAAACTTCACAGAAAAATGAGCACTTGAACACAATGTAGGGTGATAATAACTAATGATCACAGCAGAGTTTAGGTTTGGAAAAAAATTATGTGACGAGTATTTTAGCTTTACAGTTTGACCCACATCCCATCTGTTATCATTGAGGAGGCGGGGTTTATGACCTATACTGCAGCCAGTCAGTAGGGGGAGCTCTAAAAATAAAAGCTTCACTAGACCGGGGACCTTGTCCCGTCCATTATTTTTACAGTCTATGGTATTCAAGTAAAAATAAAGTAAATAACTTGAAGTCCTCAATGTGCTTCAGGCTCTGATGGTGTCAACCTCAGGGTGCTGAAAGCCTGCGCCCAACCTCAGCCTTAGTGTGCAGTGCTGATATTGGATAAATGCAATCATCTCTATAAACATCTCTATTGTTGAACGTTGCATTTTTGTTTTGAAAATATTGCTGTATTTTTTAAACTCTATCAAATTCACTTTTTGTACTTTTACATTTCTTGTTTTATTAATTCTATTTATTAAAAAAGAAATAAAAAAGAAAGAAAGAAAGCTCTCTTAAGGTTGTAACGACAATCACAATTGAGAAACCTGTTGTTTAAAAGTCAAGGGTATGGTATGGAAAAAAAGGGATTTCTGATTCTGAATGTTAAGGCTCTGGGTCTAAAGTATTAAACATTAACCATAAGTATTTATTCTTATTTAATTCATAACCATCTAGAAACTTCTCATGGGTCCTTCAAATTAAGAACAACAATCTCAATTAAGTGTTTTGTTTTGTTTTAATTCATGTTTTGTGAAAGAGGGGCAGATATTATAAGATTAGTCTTCTTTCTGCTCCTTTTCATTCAATATTTGAGATTTTATGTTTGTTTGTTTTTCTTAACTTTATTGTTTGTTTGAATTAAATAACATTTACAAATAAAAAATTAAAAAAATATTACAAAACTGTACTTTTGTACGCCTACTCAGTGTGTATTTTTGGTCAAATGGATATCATAGTTTCGTTGAGGTAGAAATAAACTGAACACATAATGAGAACTTGAACGCAACATTATAGGTCTGCCCGATAGCAGCCAGTGACGCCCCAAAAACTACAGGAGGTGGTTGGCTTTGCAGAACACTCCTGCAGCACGTGTATGACCCCCCCCCCCCCCTGACTCCCTCCATGGTGGTTTTTATAACGCACTGTACGAAACTCTTGTGTCATTGACACTGTCAGGGGGGGGAGAGTAACAGTGATCAGTCCTGGCAGTCTACTGAGAACATTTGTCCACCATGGAGGGCTCTGATAAAACACAAATGAAACAAACAGCGGAAACCAAGGAAGATGTAAAAGCTTGTGAAGAGGCTTCTTCAGTTCAGAGCTCCACAGAAGACTATGGCTCCTGTCTGAAGCGCACGAGGGGCTTCATCCCGCCGGTGTACCGGAATGAGCTCGTGCAACTTTTCAAACTAGCGGGACCAGTGGTAAGACTGACACACACATCACATCACTGTACCTGTAGAGCACCCTATGTGCGCTGTGAATGGTAATGGACGCATAACGGGCAGTGACGTATACTGATTTTCAAAGGTCAATTTGTATTTCAATGTTTGAGGCTATTCCCCCTCTCTGTGTGTATAGTGTAGTGTGTCGTGTATGCTCTATGCTATTATTTTGTAATAAACCTATAAAGCACCAAAAAGTATGCAATACATTCTGTGATATGTGGCCTAAGTATGAACTAAAATAGGCCAGATTTGAAGCACGACTCGTAAAATATAATTTAGTTTGTTATACATAATCACCGTTTTAATTGTATAGCCAAATCTAATCAGAATATATTCGCTCGAGAAAAAAGTCAAGTTTTTCACATCGCAGACAAAAAATAATTCTCTAAACTTTTTGGGTAGTTTTTTTAAATAAAAGATTTAGGTCTTGAACAGGACTGGGCAGTACGGGGAAAAAATCACTGATATATTTTTTCATATCACTGTACATCGATGTACAGTTGTGAGATAAAGCGGCTTCCTGTTAAAGACAGTGGCCTAAGAAAACACGCCTTAGAATATTTTTCATTGACCATAAGTTTCTAATTAAACATTCTAAATAGGAGTTTCTCATTGAAAATCAGTGTCTCTCTGAAGCTTTACAATGGACACAGGACATCAGGAGGGGCTGCAAGCCAACTTGTTTATGTGAGCTCAGCGTCTTTAAAGTAATGATTACTTCAGCATTCATCTTTGACAAGGTGCCTTGTTTTTTCATCTCAGTTATCCTTTCACCAGAGGCCAATTTATTTAGATAGGTCTCTTCTTCTTTAAGACACACGGACCTGGCAATTAAAAGAGTCAAATCACTGAATAAAGCAGCTTTAGGTAAACGTTATGTCTCTCTACAAGCTTCAGTGGAAACAGGATGCTAGGAGAGAGACTGCTATTAAACATAAAATAAAGTCCTAACATTTTTGGTCAACAGTGACCTCTTTATTTCTTTCAAAGGAGTTTTCTTCTCTGTCGGTTTGTTCCTCCCATGTCCACTTTTTTCTCATATACTCCTGCTGGCATGCACTTTATATCCACTTTGAACCAATGGTAAGTGGGCGTGTGCTCTCTCTCACAGTCAGCCTGTTTGAGCTTTCCATATTGACTTCAATCATGATCCACTATCAAGGTTGTTTCACCCCCGTAGCTCATAGTCTTTACTTTATGCATCTTATTATTCCTTACACATCAGACTTTCTGTGATACTGTTTGTTTATTTGTGATCCAGGTCATTTCCCAGTTGATGGTTTTTATGATCAGTTTCGTCAGCACTGTGTTCTGTGGTCACCTGGGAAAAACCGAACTTGCAGGAGTATCATTATCAATTGCGGTGAGATGTTTTTGAGTCTTTTCTGTGTCTTTATTTGTATCTCATGCTGCCTTTATAGGGTTTAAATCCTCTCTACGATGTTTGTATTTTTCCCTAAATCATGTTATGTTGGTTGCAGGTTGTGAACGTCACAGGTATTTCCATTGGCACCGGCTTGTCACTAACTTGTGATACCCTCATATCTCAGGTACTCCTCACCAGAGGATGTTCTTTCACTTGATTCATATTACATAGACAAAAGCAGTTCCACCTTGGTTCCCAGGTTGTCCTGGGGTTCGCTTTTAAAACAACTCCACAATGAGCTTTTGTATCAAGTTAGTTTTCTTGACGGGTCAAACTCTTGTTTTTTTGTGCAATGCGTGTTTTCCAACTGTGCTTATTGAAGAGTCCGTCCACATGTTTCACACAGACGTATGGGAGCGGTAACTTGAAGCGTGTTGGTGTGATTCTCCAGAGGGGGATTCTGATTCTGTTATTGGCCTGTTTCCCCTGCTGGGCCATCCTCATCAACACTGAACCCCTTCTACTTGCTGTCAAACAGAGCCCAGAGGTTGCCAGGTCTGTGATGAAGAATCTGGAAAACAACTTATTTATTGACAATATTATACGATTGGGATAGGATATATAGAAAGTGAATAAGGGTAACAAGCATCTACAGTCACCCACTGACAACTTTAGTATGAATAGCAAACTTGTTAGCAAATAGTTGCTTATGTACACATTAATCAGATACTGATCAACATTAGCACTCATTTCTAGTTGTGTTTCCGGCCACATTATAAATGTAAAAACAAAAGGGACTATGCTTTTGTTAGGTGGGGGTTATTTCTGTATGAGATGGACAATTATGAAATCGTGAAACAGACTGTGGATCATCTTAGATTTATTCAGCCATGGTCAGACAACACAGAAACATAACACACATGGCTGACAAAGTGCAGACCATCGCTGACCCATGCTGACCAAGATCTCACAATCATTGACAATCATTGGCAAAGTGGCCATCATGGGCAAAATGGCAAAATGGCAAAGTCTTCATCACACAGTGTGGCTTATATTCTGCTAGAAGGTACAGCCCACAAATTCCTTTTCATTTGGGTACATCACTATAAAACAGTAAAGATGACATGTCACTGATTTGTATACGTAACAGATGTAGACTCTTTGTCTAGCAAACAACATATGGTTGGCTCCTATCCAAACATAGATCTGCTTCAATTTAGATGTTTCACCATAGAAGGTTACAGCTTCACAGACCCAAAAGAAGAATTACCCTAAGATGGTTGACACAATTCAAAGATATATGAATGAATTCATGAAAATACATACTAATAGCTTTTCACTTGGTTTTGTCACTACCATGTACTGTGGGGATTTTCTGGTCTTAAAGCCAGCTGCTTCAGCAAGTCACTAACATGTTCTGTACTTTTGTGCTGGGCAGCTCGTTTACAGAAAAACACTTTGACACCAATGTGTAAAACATTTCAAATAACTCATTTGACAAAGTTGACCAATTTATAACTTACAGTAATTGGACAAAATACTGAATTGTTTACTGTTACTAAATTCATGACACCTATGCAGCAGTCTGTGGCATAAAACACATTTTCATCTGTATTAGATATAATCCAGCAACGTTTGATCGTAGTAAAACCTATAAACTACTTCCTGAGTGGCACATAATGTCAGAAAATGGCACCCACAGTTATTTAGTTATTAATGAAATTGAAAAGCTCACTGTTGTCTTGACTGATATATTAAATAAGATAAGCTGCCAAATAAGTCCAAGACCAGTGGATAAGTCATGCCTCATAGCCTCTTACTTGAGATTTCTAATATGACAAACAGTAATATGCCACAAGCACATAATTTCAAACGCATATTTGTTTCTTGTCTTTCTGCATGAAGTCTCTCCCAACTGTATGTGAAGATCTTCATGCCTGCACTGCCAGTGAGTTTGGCGCCTTCTGAACCCTGTCTTTAACAATAATAATTGTGATATTATTATATATATATAAGAGGTTTATACATTTTTTTAGTTTATATAAACGTGACTTGGATTAAATTTTTTGTTACTTCTTCAGGCCGCTTTTATGTACCAGCTGCAAGGCAGGTATCTTCAGAATCAGGTAAAGCGAAACAGAGTAATTGTTTTTAAAGTTACTAACTGCAGGACCCTGGTTATTGATATTTATATTGACGCCATGTTGTTCTGTGGTCCACAGGGAATTATATGGCCTCAGGTTATAACTGGAGCAATTGGAAATGTCTTCAACGCAATTATCAACTACGTCTTGCTCCACTGTCTGGATATGGGCGTTGCGTGAGTTTTTTTAAATTCCTTTTGCCATTGACCTCATCATTTATTCATGAAATATAACAGTGACTGATTTTTTACAGTGGACAAAACTCACTGTCGGGACAGAAATCAATTTAGGCAGGAATATTTAATCTATAACTGATATTTGTGATTAAGAGAATGTTTGAGCTTCAGTTTCCTTTTCTTACTCAATAGGTGTCATTTATCTCAGACTTTAAGCTCATGCCTTAGAGTATGATTTGAAACAAATACTATGCTTTTGTTTTGAATGTATTCAGTATGAGCTTGTTTCCCAGGATCCATTTTCCTATAATATTTAGCTCCTTGTTTACGATGGCAGTCAGATCAGCAGGTGTTGTTGTTGATGCATATACTACAGTATCATCTGCATACATAGTTCATTTAGCATTCATTAACACAAAAGGTAAATCATCGGTTTAGATGACAAAATCAATGAAACAAGTATCTGAATTTCTGTTATGATTTAATAACCTTTCATTAAGAATCTAATGATCATGGTAATACGTTTTTACTTTTAGCAACCTGTTCATACTTATTGCTAACAACTACATTGTACCAATCTGTCTCTTTTGTGTGTGCTAAAAGTGGATCTGCAGCCGCCAATGCCATCTCTCAGTACCTGCTAGCTGTGGTCTTGTATGTTTACATCTGCTGGAGGGGCCTGCATAAGGCCACATGGGGAGGTCAGTCATTTTCAGACTTTTGTATTGAGTTATTTGAATACATAATAAAATGTATTGTAATGTATTAACATAAAGGTGTCCTCAGTTTGAAAATCAGCTTGCGAGATAGAAAGAGTCAAAATATAAATGCAGTGTGCCATTTCAAATACATTTTGTAATGGTCCTAAGTAGCATTGATGCATCATGCAGCCATTGTCAATTTGAAAAAACGTGGAAATGATCTGCGAAATATATATTTGTGTGTTTGAGATGTAAGTCAAATTTACCTGGATTACAAGACATCAGCCTCCTCCTCTTCCTCATTCAGTAGCTGAACACCTTGGACAGCAAGCATCATCCCCGAATCAAAAGACAAGTAGAATATTACATCTAACCATTCAATGACTATATTTTTTAGATAACGTTACTCCATGAAAACATACCTGTCGCGGTCTGACTGTAAGACTCTGACAGGGTTGTAGGTTGCATTTGTTGCTGGAGATGATACTGATCGCCTTTTTAGAAAGCTGTAATAAAGTTTGAGGTCATTATGCTGGTTGATAAAATTGTGCAGAGTATGTACAGTAACGTTAGTTTCAACATTATGAACTTTGCATACGCGCTGGTCAGATAATTAGCAGCCGGAGTTATTGTAACCTGAACCCGGGACAATATGCTGTCTATGTTATCATGCTACAGGCTAAACTTCTGCAGACATGAGCTGACTTGGCTTTCAAACACCCGTTTCTCGCTGTGCATCAGTCAAAGTCTGCCCAAATAAATCTGACATATAAGGATAGCATGCGTCGCTAACTCATCATCAGGGGACAGTGAAGTTATTCTGACATTCTGGTCGTTATATGATATAGACTGAATGGGTTTGTGTTGAAACAACTGATAACTATGATGCAAAAAAATAAGACACAAAGTTTATAACGAGCATAGTACTCACCAGTTCACCAGCAGCAGTGCCAGCTCGGTATCGGACTTACAGCCCACCGTTCCCTGAAGCTCTCTCCAGCGTGTAAAAGCCTCTCCAGTATTTATGCTAGTCCAGTCTCTTGTTCGCTCACTCTCTCTTTATTCTTTATTTTATTCATAGCTTCATCCGTCAACGTGCTTTTCTACTTAGCCTGCATCAAGCAGTACAGAGATGGGCTTACTCCTAATATTTACAGTCTCGGCTAACTCCGAGGACTTGTAAACTAGTGCCGTAAATATAGAATATAATAGAATAGAATTACTTTATTGATCCCAAACTGGGAAACTGTGGTGTTACAGCAGCAGGACAATATTCATAAATAACACAATATAATATTAAATTCAAAGTAAATAAGCACTAAAAATATAAAAACTAAGAATGTGAATATATACAACCAGGATTTAACTAAACATTACTAGTCTTAAATAAGAAAAGATTAAATACAACATACTTTGCTAGATGTAAATGTGCAAAAACAGAGTGGACAGTATTGACATGGGGAGCTGTCCAGAGCTGTGCAATCAGTGATACATAAGTTAAAGAACATTGCAAATACAAAGCAGTACATACCTCTCGCGAGATGAGCGTGAGCCGCGGTCAGAAAGTGACATAATGGAGTATTGAGGCAGCGAGTCGCTGTGCGGACGTTGGAGAGGCAACATTCTCCCTGTTGAACGTGATTACGCTGTCAGACGGACTTACAAGCAAATATTTTAAGGTTGAAAAGTGACATATTGGGGCCTTAAGTGAAAATAACTCTCAACATTCCCGTGTATAATGTTTGACAAAGTAGTTTCAGTGTAACTGTGTAATGTGGTGGAGAGGACAGGAGAGGTGACAGTAATGACGCAGGTGGCTGAGGAAAACCTTTGAAAAGGTTCTGTCATATGTCACACGGCTGTTATATAATACGTCAGCAGTTCAGCAAATCTGGCTCTATATCACCTTAACCATTTACACATTGAGTGAATCATTTAGGATTTTAAGCACACTTCACGGCATCTCAAAAAATCCCCTGCAGTATTGTTTTCTGTATGGTGAGTGTACTCAGTGAGAATAACAAACTGCTCCTACATGAAATGAAAAAATGGAAAGATAACCTGTCCCACTCTGACCCACAGGTTGGTCAATGGACTGTCTGCAGGAATGGGGACCCTTTGTCCAGCTGGCGATCCCCAGTATGCTCATGCTGTGTCTTGAGTGGTGGATGTTTGAAATGGGAGGGTTTCTTGCAGGAGTGATTAGTGAGGCCGAGCTTGGAGCTCAGTCCATAGTTTATGAGCTGGCTGTTATAGCCTATATGGTAAAGACTCTAAATGTTTTCCCTTTCATTAATGGTGTATTAATTGTAAATTCTTACCCTTCACATGTGTGTATCCTTTTTTTTTTTTAAATGGCCCTATAGGTAAGAAACCACACCTTTAATTCATTTTAGGTTATCATGTATCTTTTTTCCCCATAGTTCCCATTGGGTTTCGCCGGTGCTGCCAGTGTTCGGGTTGGGAATGCACTTGGAGCAGGAGATGTAGAGCAGGCTAAGCTGTCCTCCAGAGTCCCCATCATCTGTACTTGTAAGAAACAATGTACAAGGCACACGTTACATTGAACATCTTCTCACTGAAACTAATTTATTGTCAAAGACAAACACTCTTATCATATGCACAATGTTTAAAAAAAAGAGTAGTCTGAATTTTCCAGAAGTAATGCATCCGTGTACTGAAAGCTGCAGTTAAAAATGTAGTAAGGCATAAGGAACATGGGCTGTAGTTTAAGCAGACCTCAGGAATGTAGGAAGCTTGCTCCTCAGGTTTAGGGCAAGACAAACTAAAAGCTGCTTCCCTTTCCTTGGTTTTGATCCTGGGAACAAACCTCTCCCTGAAGACCTGAGGGGTCAGGAAGCATCAAAGCATACAAGTTAATCAATTGTATACTGAAGATCAAGACCAGGAGGTGTTTCATTCATAAGTGGTAGCAATTTAAAACCTATCCTTTGCCACACATGAAGTCAATGCAGTGATTTAAGTGTAATTTGCTTCACTCTCTTAGTGTTTGTGAGTACTCTGCAGGCAGCCCTCTGAACGAGCTGCAGAGGTCTGTGATTGTCTTGTTTTTTTTCTTAAACCTTTGAAGATAACATTACAATAGTCCTGCCTGTTCGAAAATAAACTCACAAAAGGTTGATCTGTATCTTGTTTAGACAGAAATCATTAAATTCTCTCTATATTGTTGTGCTTTTATCTGGCAGATTTATTTATTTATCTTTGTGTAGCTGCTAAAATTATTCCAAAAGGCGGGTTACAGCAAGATTATCAGCTGATTTGTAATTGTATTTTATTCAAGGTTAGCCCTGATTTTTTTTAAACCTTCCTCCTTTGGGCCTTAAAGGGGTCATATTTACCTTTTTCTGGTTTTATATGCTCTTTAGCATATAAAATTATATACTCCCCCTCCCTCTATCTCTCTCTTGCTCTGAAGCTGATGTGATTCTGCTCTCTTTTGCTGTCTTAACACTCCGCAGGTGTCGAGAGGGATTTTTTTTAAAAGGCAGTTTTGCTATGTTGAACGCAGAGACTTATAATACAGCGGCTCTCTCACGCTCTCTCTCTCCCCCCTGCTACCTCTCACTCTCTCAGGCACGCAGCAATTTTATGAATAAATGAAAAATTTGATAAGAACAGGTCAGAAATATACTTGGGCCCAGGTTGTTGGTGTAAATTTGTCATTTTTATTGTTCTGCACTTTTGTGTGTGCAAGTTCTAGCACTAGCCCTTAGTAGGCCTACAGTATGGCTGCCAACAGTCAATAATAAATAATATTCTATTAATTTGCCTCTTGCATGAAATGTGTGTAGAAATAGGCCTACAGTGTATCTTAACGTCTACCATAATGGTGGTACTTGGAGAGCCAAATATTTTCGGAAGTGGTACGCAGTCCAAAAAGTTTGAAAACCACAGCTATAGGGTTTACATAACAATTCTTTATTTTACCGATATAATTAATAAAATATTGAATACTTATTTTTATGTATTAAATATTATATGTAAAAAATATATTTCCTGCTGAATAAAACCGTTTGTTTGCTGCTGACTTCCTGCATTAGTATCTCAACTTCCCAGCTGATCTAGTTTCTTTTTTTTTTCTATTTTATTTTGTATTTTTTAAAGTTTCTTCTCTGTTAGGAGTCCGCTGCTCCGCCGATGCCATCTCCGTAAGGAATCTCCACAACCTTTTTTTTCCCCTTCCAGCATGCATGTCTGTGTGTCTGCAGGGCCCTTCACTCATGCCCTTTTATTGGCATTAGTGGGCGGTTAGCTATGCTAATTAGGAATAACATGCATGCGTTTTCAATTTACGAACACAAGGAGATAAGAACACAGCTGCGAACAATTCAGTCATATAAGAACACGTTGGTGAATCTGACAGAGTCTTCTTAGAAACCGTCAGATGATGAAAATTCTTAAGCAAGATATTGGTGAATGAGGTCCAATAAGCTGATCAGAAATGCTATCTCTGTGATTGGCAATAACCCAGACTCACTTGAGGTTACCGTTGAGAAGAGAACAAAAAAAACAAACTAAAAACAGTTCTGACCTTTCAAGGCAATCCTTTACAGAGTTCCACTGATCGACTTAGACGCTCCTTTGTTCTAGCAGCAGATAGATATTTGAAGTTGTTGCTCTGATTCATGGCTGTAAATGATGTCTCAAATGGTTTCAATGGTGTTTGTTATTTATTTACTTGTTGTGTATCGTGATTGTACTGTCAATATTGTTTATTGTGTTTATGAATTGACCAGGTGGAAAATGACTTTCCTCACTGGGATTAATAATCTGATTTCTAATCTAATCTAATGTAAAACTTACTTTTGGTACATTGTCAGTTCATGAATACTCTGTATTTTATTTTGTTTCCTTCTATGTTACCACGGCAGTCATAATCGCTTGTTTCATTGGAGCTGGTCTCAGCATCACCAGAAATGTCATCGGATACATTTTCACATCAGAGCAGTGAGTCAACTCTTTGACACGAGATCCTTCACTTCCTCTCACTGACTGATTTATTCTGTTGTTTAACCGGCGCTCGTTGGCAGTCAACGTGACATAACAGGTTCGGTTTAGCATTGCTCTTCAGACTTTTATATATTAACGTGAGTTCAATGGTTCCAAGGCCACGAGGTCTGCCAAACAATATACATTCACAAGTTTGTTCCACATTAGTAAACATACACAAACATAATCTATGCGAGTCATCACATAAGGTTATTAAAGCTTTTCCCAATTTGAAGTCACAAGTACGTCAATCTTTTTATCGAAAATGAATTGCTTAATTTGACAAAAGTTATCAAATTATTTTGTCAAATTATGTGTTTCTTATTTTCTACCAGTGGAAAAGTTTTGATAACACTCAGTTTTCTTATCAGTTGATTGTATTTATTGATCATGTGGATCATTTTTGAATACAGTAATATCATTGATATTCAGATTAATTGAAGTTATTTGTTTTTCTTCTAATCACAGTAATGACTTGGAAGAATCGCCTTTCAGTGATGGTGTTGCAGTCCTGATTTAAAATCTGGATAAAGACCAAGTAAAATGCTTTTGATTCAAGTACCACAACACTCCCCTAATCTCTGTCTGCATATCTTTTCAGAGACATCATACAGAGGGTCGCTGACGTCATGATCCTGTTTTGTTTCATGCATGTTTTTGATGCAGTAGCGGTGAGGACGTAGTCATCATGATATCATACATTTTACAGAGATGTGCAGAATGTGAACAGACCCCTGAGCCGATCTCTGTTTGATTTCAGGGTGTGACTGGAGGTGTTCTCCGTGGTGTAGGGAAACAGCTAATCGGTGCTCTGTGTAACCTGGTGGGATACTACTTCATCGGGTTTCCTATCGGTGTGTCGCTCATGTTTGCAGCAAAAATGGGCATTATAGGTAAGAGTAAATACTGTCCAGGTGATTTACTGCTGTGTGTTGTCTTGTCTCCTGCTTCACAATTTATATTCAAAAAGAATCTGAGAATTTGTCTTCTATTTTTGTGTAGGTCTTTGGACGGGATTTGTCGTTTGCGTGTTCATGCAGTCCCTCTTCTTCGTCATATTAGTTTGCAAACTGGATTGGAAGAAGGCTGCTGAAGAGGTGAGTACCAACAGCCCTATGACCAATAGAAATGATCCTTCTAATTTTGTCTCAACATGCCTTTTCAAAATAAATCTTCCTAAATTGATGTGACCAGGCTCTTGTGAGAGCAGGTGTGCAGGTCAAAGAAGAAAAAGAGATGACTGGGATTGAAAGTACAGGTGAGTTCTGACGCACAAACTGAACATTAAATGTGTGTAACAGTGTTTTGTCATGACTCGAGATTCTCCATCAAACCCTCAGACTCCAATCACAACCAGGCTGAGGTCAGTACGACTGAATCCATCTATGAGAATGCTGAGGTGGACAACAAGGACGCCGAGGTGCATAATCCAGAGCAGAAAAAGTCCATTACCACTACAGTTGGAGATGTCCTGTCTATAACACAACTCGTTTTACGCCGTGGTTTGGTATTGCTTCTCATGGTGGTCATCCTGATTGTTGGAGTGTTCGCCAGTGAATTCCTCATCAAGCTGCTGAAGTGAGTCTGTCAGATATTTAAAACTGGCATTCAGAGTGGTTGGTTGTCTATTAGGTGAACTTCATGTTCCATAAGATAACAATGACTCACCTTGTAGTGTGAGATGAATACACAGAGGATAAATGCCTGACTGCAGTTTAGTGCTGCATTTAGAGACCAGAACACATGTAAATGACCTTATAGCCCCTCTGGGACTGAGGGATGAATGGGTGATAAGAAAGTTAGTTCAGGTTCAGTTATAGTTTAAGAATATGGACTGGAAGTCACGCAAAAAAATAACAAGTTTGAAAAAAGAGGATTGTAGTGTGATAACTATGTTGCTCTCTTTCTGTCAAAGGAGGGTGTTTGTCTAAATGATAGCCACAACACATTTTATAAAAGCTCAAGAATTATCATGATTTTGTTCAAGTCAGCTCATTGATAGATGACCAATATCACTAATTTAAAAGAAGCACTATTTCACTAATTCAACTTAAAAGAAGAAATGCTACATGCTTGTCTCCGTTTGTGTTCACAATTTATTTCGTTTCTCAGGTGGAGTTAAAAAGGAGAAAAATCCTCGATGGGTCAATTTAAGTGTACCAGTTTGAAATGTTTACATACTGTGGATCTGATTAGAAAATACAAAGGTGAGAAACTTCAATGTGATTCTATTTATAGGTTTTAAAGTAGGAAGAGAGTGACATGTCACACACATTGGAGAGAGTTTTTGGATCTTTGTACCCAGGGCCGATTTTCAGCCCAGCCTGCTTAAATTCACATCCTCTCCCTGGAGATATATCATTTTAGGCTCACTAGTATATAAATCAGGATCACTACTCTCCTCAACCTTGTTATTCAAAGTTGATCAAAACAAATGTTTCTGCACTATTCTAGCTCTGCAGAATTTCTGAAGCTGTAGCTTTATATAAGTAACCTATGAATAGCTGAAATATAATGTACTATGACATTATTTTGTCTTGTAATGCACTTGTAAAAATGGCAGACAATATGAAATTGTTAAAAAATAATCCAGAATGTAATTAATTTCTGTGATAGAGTACATGGTCATGCAGTGAAGACATTCCTGCACTCCTACTGAACGCGCACTCCTAAGAGTGCTGCACGGAAATAATTGCCAACTTTCAGACCTCAGAGAGCGCGTTTGTAAACTGAAAGCGTACAGAAACAGTTTGGTAATCCATGCCCACAGAACATCATTATTTACTGTGGGTACAGTTTTCAATTTTACTTTTTTTTCTGTCTTAACTGAGTCTTTGGGGTCTCGTGCAAAACAAACTAAACTCCCATTTTGAAAAGTTTCACTTGGACTCAGTTATTGCAACAAGACACAGCAAAACCAAGAGAGAGTAGAAATACTTTGGCAGCAAGAAGCTGAACAAAAAAAGACAATTTGAAGTTTTGTATAAAAGACGAGACATTGCATTGCAGCAAATTAATTCAAAGAGATTTAACAGCAGTTAACTTTTTTTTTCTCTCTCTGGTCACCTTGACATGTGAGGGGTACAGAGTGAGAAAGACCAATCACCTTCTAGTTTCTTTGTCTTTAATGACGATCATTAATATATCTGGAGGGCAGGCTTAGTGAGAAACACTACAAGTATCCCCAGGCCACTCGTGTGCCTCACACTTTGAGAAGTACTGGTCTATATAGTCTAATAGAAATACTGCCTGAAACTACAGTATGAGTGCTTTCAGCTGACTTCCATGGCAACCTCAGCCACACATCTCCAGCCTATGATTCACTTGTATCTCCTCGCACAGTGTACATACATGTGGTACCAAAGATAATGAGATCCGTGTTGCACAGTGTGGCTTGCAATAAACTTGTAATATTGCAAAAATTGCACTGTGTGTCTGTACACACTCAAGGGCAGAAGAACTCTGAGATGACTCATTTTTACTTGAGGTTTTTGGAGAATTGTTGTAAACAAATGATTGTATTATTTATACACAGGCAGTATAAATATATAGATGTGCAAATTAATTGTTTTAATAGTTCTTGTGTTTCCCAGCAACACAATCACCACTCATTTATCTGACTCAGATTAATGAGCAGCATATTGCAGCTAAATACCAAGGACAGTAACCAATGTATAAACACCATTAATACTAATGAATCATGTCAACAATATACTGTAATTACTTTTTATAATGAGTTTTCTCTTCATTGTCATCTCTCATTGTAAAGAAATAAATGATTAATAAAAATATGTTGGCTTTATTATGTCTTGGTTCTTTAGTTTCCCACAGACTCATAAATGTTCTCTGTAGTTAACCTTTATGTTACCACTTACAAAAGTTTTTAAATTTAAATTTAAATTTGGACTTCTTTTCATGTCATTGCCTTAAAATAACATGGATGGTTCCCTTCCTACCGTCAATGAGTAATTGGTGTTTTATGAAAATGTTAAGCTTTTGCTGTCCGTGTCAGAGTGAAAAATTTCCCAGAGGTGCTATGGAGCAATAGATCACCCAATTCGGCTTTGCTGAAGATGTACCCACACACAGACACACACTCACACAAACCCTGGTTATGTGATGGGGCAGTTGATCACACTATCATGTTCTCACAGAACACAAACACACAGATGCACATATATAGACGCACACGGACAGACCATAGACTGCAAAAAAAAAAGACGTCAGTCAAGCACTAAGCTACACCTGTGTAAACCAGAGGCCATATTCACAAAGCCTCCTAAGTAAGAGTAACTAAGAGTTGCTCCTAGTGAGAAAATTCTAAGAAAATTCTTAGAATCGTGAGATTTTCTATGAATTTTCATAAAAGTTAAGACTAGATCGTTGTAAAAATGAAAGTTATTCACAAATTGTCTTAGCCCTTAAGAGAGCTCCTCAGGTATACTTTTTGTATATTTACAAAAATGGGTAAAAATATATACTTATGCACTTTTAAATGATTTTTTATTTTTTATGGAAGGCATCTCGCGACCCCCCTCTTGGTGGCATGCGACCCCCCTGGGGGTCCCGACCCCCACTTTGGGAACCACTGGTCTTCACAATTGTAGTGGAAAAATACTATCTGTCTGTTGTCTTCGGTTGACCTTAAAAGATTAGGATGTTCGTGTGTCATTTAGCAATTACAAACTGTTTCTCTGTATGGCCTTGGTCTGTATCTCCAGCAGGAACGCTCCTCAGGATCTGAGTACAGCATGACCCTAAATCAGTTCCCTCTGAACAAAGGCCTTTCTGTTGGTGTTAGATAAATCATCAGGCAAGCTGAAACCAATGACGATGTATCACTCATGTATATGCAAAATACCTACACCCTGTGAAAGTATAAATATGCTCTGCAGCCGGGACTGCCCCGTGAATCTTTGATGCACTTGTGACTGATGTTACTTTTGTAGCTGATTACCCCTTTTGCAAAAGAACTTTTTATTATATGCAATAAAATACTCAAAGACAAAAGACTTTGACTTGAGATCTTTCATTACCAACAGAAAAATCCACAACACTATACCAAAGAAACATTCACCCATTACTTTTACATGGCGACTGGTGAGGAGAGGCAGCAATAAGCACAGCAGTCACTCAAACCTGTGGTGTGGTGTGAAGACATTTGAGTAATAGCGTTGAGTATAATTACACAGAAAAGAAGACCGTAAAACAAAATATGAATGTCTGTGTTAGTACCAATTTTCATAAATTCAAAAAATGAAATAGGAAAAAGAACTAACCATGAAAACGTGATAAAACCCATACCACATTTCTAACTTTAAGCAGATAAATCTGTCAATAAATTGTTCTAAGAGAGTAGATCCAGAGCGAATTAAGTTTCATAAAGTAGAACTCTATTTGACTTTTTTAGCAGCATGAACTGATAATCACTATCCCATAGAAGGTAGCTTTGCCAAGCAACAAACTGAACTCCATGGTTATTTAATTGATATCACTTCGGTGTGATCCATTGTGGGATAAAGACTACATTTATCTGTGTTTTCATGTGTGCTCAATAGCCTTGCAAAATAAACAAAGGACAGAAAGAAATCTAAGACCAATAGATATTGACTTTACGATCAAGCTCATCCAAATGACATTCAAACAACAAATCTACCGCTTTTCATGATACACAACATGTCTGTAAACTGAGACATGTGAATCTGCATACCCCAAACACAGCTGTTAATGCTAAAGATGATGTCATTTATAACGAGCTGTTTGTATACTCTACACTGACTGACACAGAGTCCAAGAAAGATCCTTTAATCATAATAATACTCAGACAGTGTCAGATGTAATTAAAGCCTAGCATATGGAATGTTCTATTGCATGGTTAAAAATGGCAGACATTTTTTTGAATCATTAGAAAGATTAGTACTTGTTTTAATTGATCAAATATGCAAAGTACTTACTGTCTTTTCTTTCTGAGTACGCGCAGCAGGTGGTAGATTCCATTTCACCAGCCAAGACCACTGTGCATTACTTCCAACCGGGGACTAGTTTGCAACTTTAACCCAATAGAGAGCCAACTACAGTATGAACCACCCACATGTGACTAGTTAAGGTTAAAGGTCAACTGCAATAGATACTGTACATGCATCCAGAGTGGATGCGGCAACACAAACGTCTGCTAGAGTGACTGTGTTATCAAAAAATGTGTTCCCATCCACATTTAACACAATAACATTGTGGAAGAGGAAAACAGCTATATACTGATCTTCATGAACAAACATGTTAGAAAGCATCTCATTCTCAATCCTGCAAAGATATGTGGAAATATCTGGAAATTAACTTGCCAAACGGAAAATCTACCTGCATTAGGTGCTTGGCGGGTACCAGTCTCACATTTCTTACCTGCCACTTTATTTTAACTGGCAGCACAATGTAATGACGTGTAACATAATAAACAAGGCTTATAGTATTCAAGAAATAGACGATCAACTATTAAATAAAATACTGACATGCTGTTTGTCTCACTCATAAACAGAAAAAAAGTTTGTTTTAGTTCATTATTTTTGGGCTATGTCCTCAAAGGCTGATGAAGCTGAAATGAAACCTCGACTGAGAGGTAAGATAATGGATATATTGTTTTAAAAGAATATGAGCTTATATGAGGAGAGTCATCACAGTCATAAAGGTTTCTGCTGGAAACTGAGTTTCATTTAAAAAGATATTTTTAAGTCACTGTGTGTTTTCTTCTCAGGACGTTGTAGCTTCTAACTGAATCTGTCAGGTTCCTTTCCTCTGCGTTTGTATTTTAAACGTCTGAGTTACAGTCATTTGCTTCTGTTGAAAAATATCCCATTTTCTAATGTAGCTGCTTCACAATAAAAGCAATGCTATTTAAACCTGGAACTTTTAGTGTGAAGAACTTGTTGGAAATAGAATGTGTGTTATATCGTGTTCACAACCTTTGTTTCAGAGCGCTTCTCACCAGCGCTCCTTGTTGCTAGATTACAAAAGTTAACTTGTGCTTCCCTCTGTAATGTCCGTAAGGTGTGTTTTAGCTCCATGTGTTTCATATTTTCTTTAAATCAAATAAATATCACCAAGAAAACATGAGGACGATGTAAAGGAGTCATGTCCTGATGTCAGCAGCAGCTCTACACCTGCAAACTGTTCCCTCCAAAAGACGAGTCAGACCAGCGTCTCCTCTGCCATCGCTTTGTTATTGACAAATCTGATATCAGAAGTCACGCCCCTTCTTGAGTTTGATTGGTCAGTGAGGGAGAAGTGACATTGATCAGCGTGGCGCTGTTCTCAAAGTTGAACGTCTTTTGACTGATAGCGTTTGAGTGCAGTGACTAAAAACAGCTGACACCGAGGGCGTGTTAGCGCCCAGGAAGCTGAACTACATTAGTTTTGTAGTTCAGCAGGATGTCAGCAGGGGACTGTAATCTCTGTTCAGTTTAAATCTAAGCCTGCTGTACGGGTTGTGCCTGTTAGTATTTATTTTCACATAATCATTCACCATGCTAGATTTAAGGAAGCTATTTCAGCTGTTTTTGATTCAGTACTGTGTTTCAACCCAGTTGGAAACTCTTATGATAGCTTTAGTCCCTCTCAGCTAGATCAGTTTGTTGATAGTGCAGTGGATTCGCTGAGAGTTACTCTGGATTCGATTGCTCCCCTGAAACAGAAGGTTGTCAAGCGGCGGAGAGTGGCTCCATGGTTCAACTCAGAAACCCGTACTCTAAAACAATCATCGCAGAATTTTGAAAGAATATGGCGCTCGACCAAAACGGTAGAATCTCATTTTTTCTGGCAGGATAGTCATAGAAGATATATGAAGGCTCTACGTCACGCCCGAGCTGCCTTCTATTCCTCTCTAATTGAGGAAAACAAAGGCAATCCTAGATACCTTTTCAGCACTGTAGCCAGGCTGACAGAGAGTCATGGCTCCATTGAGCCTTGTATTCCTCTAGCCCTCAGCAGTAATGACTTCCTGAGTTTTTTCAACAACAAAGTTTTAGACATCAGAGACAAAATTGGTAACCTCCTGCCCTTACCTGGTGCAGATACGTCTGATACGGCAGAGACAGTTCCAGGACCAGATATTAGTCTCGACTGTTTTTCTCCAATCAACCTTTCAGAGCTATATTCCATTTTTGTCAACCTGTCTTTTGGACCCAATCCCAACCAAGCTGTTTAAGGAAGTCTTTCCCTTAGTTAGCAACTCTATATTAGATATGATCAATTCGTCTGTACTGGCAGGCTATGTACCCCAGGCATTTAAAGTAGCGGTAATCAAACCTCTACTTAAAAAGCCTACTCTGAACTCAGGAACTCGAGCTAACTACAGGCCTATATCCAACCTTCCTTTTATCTCGAAGATCCTGGAGAAGGTGGTAGCTAAACAGCTGTGTGACTTTCTCCATGACAACAGTTTATTTGAGGAGTTTCAGTCAGGATTTAGAGTCCACCATAGCACTGAGACTGCACTAGTTAAAGTTACAAACGATCTACTTCTAGCTTCAGACAGGGGACTTCTCTCTGTGCTCGTCTTGTTAGATCTTAGTGCTGCTTTTGACACCATTGACCATCGGATCCTGTTGTACAGACTGGAGCATTTGTTTGGAATTACAGGCACTGCTTTAAGTTGGTTTGAATCCTACTTACTCAGTTTGTACATGTTAATGTCCCTTTTTTTCGTGGGAAACTCTGTCTGCTCTGTGACTAATTATGAGGATAGACCTAATGATCGTGTCAGAGATGCCCCGACTTAATGTCCACACTTGAATTATTTACAGAATAAATATG